AGTTAGATCCCGTTTTTAGGGATCACCGCCGTCCGCCATCTCGCTTAATCGCAGTGTACATACCAACCAACCAACCAACCAACCAACCAAGAGCTGGACATGCTGGTCTTTCTCACGAAGCGACAAGGCGTTTCAGGGGGGCCACCTTGCACCGCTCCGGAGAAAATCAGTTCCTGTATGTAGATCTCTTGCGATACTGCCGAGATCGATATACATAAGATGCTGCAAGCAAGCAGGATCGCAGTTGCTGATCTAGGAAGTACAGTTCGTCCTCATACTACCAGAAATGTCTCGATTCCGCAACGCACTATATACTCTCGCTGGGACTGTTGGTGCAGTCACTGCCAAGGTCTTTCTTGCCGGCGACAGCACAATGGTATCTACTGGCAACAATGATGGGACACAGGGCTGGGGGGCTTTCTTGCCGAAATACATCAGTCTTGCGGTCGACAATGATGCTATCGCTGGACGTTCTGCGCGGAGCTTCACACGTGAAGGTCGCTTTGCCGCCATGGCAGACAACGTACGGTCCGGAGACTTTGTCGGTGCGTAGACCCAAGTATCGAACATCCTTTCGGATCAATGTCCTCGCTGACCCTCCTCTTCATCAGTGATGGAGTTTGGACACAATGATGGAGGTAGCCTTACGCCGACGGACAATGGCAGGACCGATTGCAACCCAATCGACGGAGACTATGCTACCACTTGCCAAACGAAGTACAAGTAAATGTTGCCGATGTCTGTCATGGTTCCCTCAAATCGCTGATCGTTTCACAGCGGCGTATCAGAGACGGTTTTGACGTACTACACCTACCTTGTCAACGCGGCCAAGCTTTTCCAATCCAAAGGAGCAATTGTGATCATCAGCTCAGCCACCCCGAACGATGTCTGGGAGACGGGAGACTTCTCCTACAGCGCCAACCGCTTCGTGACATATGCCATGGATGCAGCAAAAGATTCTGGCTCCACCTTTGTCGACCACGGATTGTACACTGCTCAGCTCTACAAGAATCTTGGTGCAGATGCCGTCAATGCCTTCTATCCGAAAGACCACACGCACACCAGTCCAGAAGGCGCGAATGTTGTGGCCAGGGCTTTCGTCTTGGCTCTCCATGCTACGGATAGCGCTTTGAAGGATTACATTACCAGCACGTCGCTGCAGTAGAGTAGCGGTATCAAGCTTGTTCTTCTCCGCGAGACAACTCGTCGCCAGACACGCCATGAATTTGGGCTTGTCGCTGCTTCGTGGATATCGTCTGCTCTCAGCCTATGAAAGTCGTCGATAAGAGAGAGAGAGAGAGAGAGAGAGAGAGAGAGAGAGAGAGAGAGAGAGAGAGAGAGAGAGTGTGTGTGTGTGTGTGTGTGAGCCATCATCGCCGTCGCGAACCAGGTTAGAAGCTAGCTTGTGCCTGTCGACCACGATGTCGCTGGCGGAATGGTCATCGCCCGGTCCTTGGTCTTTGCCTATGAGTGGCGTTCCAGATTTCAGCAATAGCATCTCGTGTACGGATCGGTATTCATCATGCCCAACCTGGCGACTGTCCTTGTGACTTCGCTGTCAGCCTGCAACCTCAAGCCATGTCAAAGGTCGCCCACTCCGTTGACGTCTCAGCTCCCGAGGGTGGGCGTGGACGTCGCATGCGTATGAATGTCGGTCGTGGTTAGCAGCATCGTGGTTGAGTTCATGGGATACATGTAGCGTCGCATCGCTCCGCAAGCAGGCGTGGCAAGCGACTTCTTCTGTTGCAGCGTTGTAATCTCCGTCGCTCGCTGGTTCCACGCGAGTGAACGACATCGCCGAATCCGGTGCGTCTTGCCCTGGAACGGTAGAACAATCGATACTGTTCCCTCGAAATGCGTCGATGGGTGCCTTCAGGCTCGTATTTCCCGTTCGTCTCGATCTGGCCATTGATGTCGTGACTGCTAAAGGGTAGAGACCTGTGCAGCACAAGCCGACGTGGCAAGCGACTTCTTCTGTTGCAGCGTTGTAATCTCCGTCGCTCGCTGATTCCACGCGAGTGAACGACATCGCCGCGTTCCGGTGCGTCTTGCCTTAGAACGGTAGAACAATCGATACTCTTCCCTCGGAATGCGTCGATGGGTGCCTTCAGACTCGTACTCTCCGTTCATCTCGATCTGGCCGTTGATGCCGTGAAGGGTAGAGATCTGTCCAGCGCAAGCCGACGCTGGTCATTAGTTGACTGAAATCATTGGTATTCGCGAATTACTGATTTTGTTCGCAACATCAGCATGACCACAGCACAGTTTGCATGCCCCCAATGTTCTTGAAAGCGTCTTGAGGACAGCTACCCACCTAACCATCGAGGATGCCGTGTTTTGCGTGTGCACCACCTGCCTGAACGAGCGTGCGGCATAGTGTGGTGCCACCCAGTCTAACGAATTTGCATATACGTCGTCGATGTTGAATGACTCTTGTGAGAGAAGGGTGAAATTCGTCAAGTCGTCCACCTAGCCCCTCGCCCGCGCGGCCGATTGGCATCTTTAGCAGTCAGGTAAATTGGAAGTCAAGATCTCATTCGAAGAGCCAGTCCGTATGTTGGTCACCCCCTGCCATAACTCAATTGCATGAGGATTCTGCCTACGAGAGTGCCAATCGGCCTTGACTCGGAATTTTGAAGCGGCATCTGTCCAAGGATAAAGAGTTGTGGTTGCGAAAGCACTTGGCAGGCAGTCTTCTCGAAGGATATCCGTCGTCTACGAGAGCTCCAATCAGAGTGCTCGACAGACGGCCTGGGGTGTGTGGAGGGTCTCTGGGCAGCTTCCTTAATATATGACCTCACAGGCGTCGCTCTCGCAGATGGACCGCTCGTTCAGAACTTGTTAAAGCATGGCTGCTGCGTCGTTACCGCCGCCTTTCATCGACGTACCTGGCATTGCTAACTTTCGAGACATCGGCGATGATGGGAAGATTCGCAAAGGTCTCGTCTACAGGTCCGCCGATCCGAGCAAGGCGACAGAGGAAGGCCTTCAAAAGATGGGCCGGGATTTAGGTAAGAGGTCTGTCGTGCCAGCCACTGCACCTCCAGCTCTTGATTCACTCACGGGTGCGCGTGAGCGGAGGTGGCCATCACATCCGCAGCTGTTGACATAGAGGAAAGGCATTAAGTACATATTTGATCTTCGCTCGCTGCCAGAAATACAGCGCGATGGCCCAGAATGGGCAGGAGTCGAGCTCGATCAACAAGAGGACCCCTTCCACGCTCATGGCATGATCCGATCATGGGTCCCTGTTTTCGCAGAAGCAGATTACGGGCCGGAGCAGGTAGCCGTAAGATACAGGCATTATACCACGGGGTCAGAAGGCTTCGTCAAAGCGTACAACGACATCGCGCTCGCAGCGCCGCCAGCCTATGGCGCGATCTTTCGACATCTATCCAAGCCAGACCCCGAGCCGTGCCTCATCCATTGCACCGCTGGCAAGGATCGCACCGGCGTCATAGTGGCCCTGTTGTCGCTTCTTGCAGGACGAGAGAAAGAGGTGATTGCAGAAGAGTACAGCCTCACGGATAGTGGTTTAGAACACTTGAAACCGCTGTTCCAAGAAAGGCTGCTGCAGAATCCGGCGCTGCAAGGCAATACGGAAGGTGTACTGAACATGATCAGTAGCAAGAAGGAGAATATGCTTGCAACGGTGGATATGCTCTTGAAGGATTTCAATGGGCCGGTTGAGTACATGAAGCAGTACTGTAAGATGAGTGATGCAGAAATTGAGCTGCTGAGAAAGAATCTCGCGCCAGCGGCATAGCATAGCATGATGAGCATGGTTGCATTTTGGCACACCTATGGACACTAGACGGCGATAGACGATCTGGATAAAGCCATCTAGCATCAACCTGGGAGCTGAGCCGCGCATGTCTACCGCCTTCCCTGCGGCATGTATCGCGCCACTATGTAGGTATATCCGCTGTTGGATACCGCCATTCCCACGCCGAACCGTCTGGTCCTATGCCACATACACAGATCTGCGGACGAATAAGCGGGTGAGATTCAGCGACTTAGACCCATCGACGTACCCTCGGGCACGCGTCCATTGCTACTTTCATTCCGCAATTCCTTCTCAGCAACCCAAGCATTCACGGCATCTTCGATACTTGGACGCTGGGCAGAGACATAGATGTTGCTGCGCTTGCCCAAGTGTACGGAGTCTCGATTCAACGAGTCGTCCTACGCCAGCGAACGAGCCTTCCTTCGCGCTTTCGCTGCAAGATCGTTGTCCCAGTCGGGCATGGAGCAGTCTGTGGAGCAACGGGCATCATTCTGCGCTGTAAGAGCTTCGCAGATGTCGGTCTCGCAGTTGCAGTTGCTGAAGTCGTGGGGTATGGGCTGGATCCTTCTTCTGATTTTGCTGTTGACTCGATATGCGAGGGTGGTCATTCTGGGTAGGAATGTGAAGGATAAGGGATCGACCAGTCTATTGCTTAGGTCTCTCTCAGAAATGTGGCTGTAACACTCTCTCTTGTGAGGTTGGCAACGGACTTTGCGAATCTCGAGGGTGGCAGACCCATGCGAGCCTTCCTTCACGCAGGACCACGCTTTCTAAGTTGGGAGCGCGTGTCTTCCGCTGTCGATCTTGAGAAGCATTCTCTCGATTTGCAACGATTATTTGTAGAAAGGCTGGAGAGTGAAACTCTCATACGACAAGCCTTGAGCGTCAATGCCAAGGCGACGACTTCCATTCTCTTCAGCTGAAGGTCAGACGACACACTCACTCACCTCACTCATCCGCAACATGACAACCTTTCGGTGGATCTGGCCCCGTTATCAAGCGCGCCAAGTGTGCACGCTGTCTTGAAGATGCAGCTCTTCGCGGTGGCGCACCTTAGCGGCAGCCATGTGGTGAGACTAGAACTCGTCCAAAGAACCAACACACGCTCACTGTTCTCTTCGATTCGGTACAGCGGCTTCAGTCGTGCCCGCGCCTTTCTCTCTTCATTGCACCTTTTAAAGATAACATTTATTGATTCTGCGAGGCCTGAGATTTGCCTTGACCTTGACGGCGGCTGTCAGTTGGCCCAATGTCGTAGGAGTTCTAAGCGAGCACGTACAGGTACGGTACAGCCTCGCTGCATACAACCGGTGTAGGCACCTTCCTTAGGCGAACCACATCGCGTATACGTACTGGAATAAGAGCTAATTGCTTTCTAGCTCTTCCGTCACATAACTTGAGAGCTTGTTCATCCCCGATTCCTTCAAGTCATTTCATTTGAAACGACTTCGATCTGCGAACAGCCGCCGAACAGCCCGGGTCGCATACGGATGGCCGCATCAGAACGAATGATCGGCGAACTTTGTACCTGAACACGAGTTACTAGCAAACAAAATGTCCGCACAACGTGGACTTCTGAATGACGCCTCGCCGTTGCCTGCGCACAGTGCAACTCCTTCTTTTGCGACGCGACACCGCCCTGGATATCAGCGAGTGGCCTCGGTAAGTTTTAACGATACTCCAGATACGAGAGACATCACGGATCCGACAGACGAGATCGAACCGGCACCTTCTGGTGCCGCTCACAACCATGGATTGGGCATATCGACTGGATCAGCGGCCACGCCTGCTACACCCTCGCGGACGGGTCAATCATCGTTGCAAAGAGACTCCACCGGCAATCTCCAATCGACGCCTGAGCATGGCATACCAGTGTTCTCTCCTCCATCTACTGGGGCGCTGACAGGGAGCACACGATTTGACGAGACATTCGACACGGCCTACAACCCTAGCCACATGGACAGGGAGTCTCGGGCCTCCTTAAACTCTGCGAATAATGCACCTTCAGTATATGCGAAGTCCGAAGCTGGTTTACTGTCTGTGCGGTCTCGATACGACGACTTTGCGCCTCACCACAACTGTCCAAGCACTCGCAACGTCAAGCACGGTCGCTTTGCCACTTGGCTCTCCATCGGCATACTTTTCTTGGCCGTTTTTGCGACAGTCTTCTCCGCCGCATTCTTGATCGTCGCCATCAAAGGTCCAAAGTATGGGCGTGCGATCCGGAATGGAGGAGCAATTTCTCCATCATCGGCCGCATTTCTCACTTCACTATTCGCGAAGATGATCGAACTTGCCTACGTCACGGTGGTGGTCGCCTTCGTTGGCCAGGCACTTGCCCGTAGGGCCTTCAAGTTGGAGCGCGCCAGAGGCGTAACGTTGGCTGAGCTTAGTATGCGATCGTGGATCATGCAGCCTGGCGTAATGCTCACACAGTGGGAAACCGTACGTTACGCAGGTATCTCCATCCTAGGATTGATCTCCTTTCTCGCGGCTCTTATGGCAATGTGAGTGCGCGTCTTTGATTTCGACGACCTTGACTAACCTCGACAGCCTGTACACCTCTGCTGCCACCGCACTGGTGCAGCCGCAGCTCGTGGTCCCCAACTTCGAGCATAAAGTCATGAGCGGTCTGGTCAAGTCACAATTTGCGAACCCGCAATACATTGGCAAGAACTGTCAAACTCCAGTCACGGATGCAATGGATCCGGTCTACGTTGATACAACATGTTTGCAGATCGAGCACTCTGCAATGGCATTTGTCAACTATCGCACTTTCCTGGCGAATTGGGACGATGCCGCGCAGGTGTATGGCAACAGTACTAATGACCTTGCAAAAAGACCCAAAGGCTATGCGTTATTCAACGACAATACAACGATCATCGCTCCGTGGGTCGAGCGAAGGTCACAATCAAATCCGCAGCCGAACCCGGGCTATCTTGTGAACAATATCACTATGGCTATGCCTCACGTAGGAGTCGTCCAAGCAGCGATGGATCCGATCAATAATCTGGTACAACCCTGGGAAGTGGAAGGTGCTTCATACAGCATCCGAGCTTCAGTGCCCTCGCCAGTAGTGAATGTGCTCTGTGCCACACTGACCGAAACTCAACTCGAGCCTTTCATATATCAAAAGTGGAATCATACGGGATGCGACACCAGCACATGGATCGATTGGCCGACATGTCTGACTTATCCGAACGGGACATATCCATACTTGAACGGCACGGATCAGGGCCTGTATAAGGTCTTCAAGTGGGGTGAGAAGTACGGCAGCGCGAGGTACCCACCAGTCTTTGCAAGACTTCCCAAGGATTTCAACACTATCGTGAATGACACAAAAGGCATGGCATGGGGCTCCACATCCATATATCTCCTCGGCAAGAGCGATTCGGCAGGCCCAGTAGCAGGTAATTACGCACTCTGTGAGATTCAGGCTGGCCAAACACCCAATTGCTACACGACCTACAATGCCACCAGTAGTGGTGGAGAGATGGAGGCAGTGTGCGAGTCTAATCACATACTGCAGTATAACAACAGTGAGCCACTTGCACTTAGTGGTAACGCTACGTTGAGTAAAGATTGGGTGAACATTGGCAGCGAATGGTCAAGGGGTATGTATGGATTCGGAGGACTCACCGTGAGAGCACAAATTGACATTTTCCACAGCTCTTTCCCTTAATGCCGGCCAATTCGACGGCAACGCCTCGAATGCCCGACTACTGACACAGTTCATCCTCTCTGATGTAAATACCGGAAACCTCAGCTCCGGATTTCCTTCGACAGCAGAGGCTCTCGCGGTGCTCGCAGGCAATACTTTGATGCAAGCCTCTCAAGACTCTCCCTTTGTAATGTTCTGGAATTACACCAACCCCACAATCGATGGCTCGTACCAGCAATTCAACGCGTCGGTCAGAGTACAGCAATACGCCAGCGGCGGTAATCAGGACTACCAGAAACCCTTCTACGTGGTCCTGACCATTGTCTTCCTCATGAACTTCTTCATCCTCGGATACTTCGCTTTACATCGCGATTGGTACACAGATTTCAGCGATCCGATCCATCTCGTAAGTCGAGTCGGCCGCCTTCTCTGCTCACCGCACTGACGATTCCCAGTTCTCTTTAGCAGTCAATTCCCCTCCGTCAGAAGCTCTTGCTGGATCTTGTGGTTGTGGTCCTAGCGGCGAGCAATACAAAGTCAGCTGGAAACTTCACAAGGACGGCGAACATTTTTACATGGAGGGACAAGAGCAAGCGCGGGAGGGAGCTGTGAATGTGGAAAGTCCGCGCATGAGTCGGAGGAGGTTTGGGCAGACTTTTGAGATGGTTGGGAGTCCTGTGAAGGCTTTGAAGAGGGTTAGTCATCATCTTTAGAAGTAGACAGATGTAGATGATGAACGACATGACGCATGGAGATTGCCTTGGTTGATGGTGAGACTGATGAGACCCTTGTGTGTTGCGACCGCGCGCCCAAGATTTGGGAGTTGGTATTTCCACCACACTTGAGCCGGCTGGTTGTGGTTGTAGTTGTGGGATCTCTTCGCACAGTGCAAAAATGTATGGCTGCCTAACCTTTTGCCACGCCATGCCGGTAGATACATCTTCGGCGACGGAACATGAGGCGGCTGCCGGCGCATCGCGATACCTTTTGTGGGTTTGACATACGGTCATCTGGTGGTGGTGCGCAAACAGGCGAACCATAGTGACGTGTAGCTGTCTGTCATGATCAGAATGTGGGATATATCTGAGGCTTAGAACAGGGGGGTTCCATGGTCGGTCGGGTGCTGCTCTTCGCTTTTTGCCACATTTTCATTACTGTATGAGCCTGGCTTGTTTGCGAGCTGGGAACATTATTGAATAGGTATGCTTGGATGTGTGGTACGTTATCTCTCTCTGGGAAGGAAGGTGGATTTATCGTGTATGTCAGGAGTTTTAGTAAAACCTAAATAGAGTCATGAGCACAGCGTTTTACTAGTGATTACTAGGCAATAAGCCACCCGCAATCCTCCAGTTTAGTGGCGTTTAGAACCGCTCGGCGTAGTAACGAATTAGGTTAAGAAGGGCGCCTCTCTCGAGCCTATCGGTAAAGCGGCTATTTAACTATTTAACTACTATAGAAGCAGCAATTTTATAGTAGAAGAGACTATTATAGAAGCAGCCATTTTATAGTAGAAGAGACTATTATTATTACTATATAATTACCGCCTTCTACGACTATATCGGAAAGCCTAGCTATACTAATTACTATCTCTTCGACCTTATTATTACTTAGTACGTTGTCTACGAGCGGTTAACTTACTAGCGGTTAACTAACTAGCGGTTAACTAGCGGTTACTATGTGTTCTTATACCTCTTATCTCTCGTCTAACTCGCTCGTTGCTAGGTAGGTTATTAGCGGCGTCGTCTTCTAAGTCGTCTATTATCTAACTAGTTAGTCGCCTAGCCGCTCGTTTGTAATCCTTATCTCGTATATAGCTTATTATCGTATCTATAGTATACTAGTCTACGTTATAGAAGATAAGAAGCTCCTCGAAGAACGAGAGGCTAGAATCGGTAAAGCAACGGTCGTTTATAGTAATACCGTTAATCTCGCGAATACTATATATAAAGACCTATAATAGCTTACCCTAATTCTATTAGCTAGTTAAATAGTAAGTGCCTAGCGGCGTAGGTAGACCTCGTACTAGTAGTGTATTACCTCCTATTAAATCTACCTCTTTAACGTCGTCTAAATCGAGCGGTTATAAAAACTATATATCTAGTATTGTCTCGCGGCGCGGTAGATTAAAAGAGGTTGTCTCGCGGCGCGGTATATTAAAGGAGGGCGGTAGAAGGCGCGGAAATAGCCTCGGAGTAAGGTTACCTAGCGGAGGTAATAAGAATATAGGTTAGCGAATAGGTAACGACTAAACACGCTGTTTTAATAGTAACGGTCGCAGTATTATATTAGAATAGACGAGGTAGTATGTCTCCGGCGTTGTCGGTGTCGGTCGCAATTAAGCGCGAGTAGGTATCGCTAGTTTAGAAGGTAGTTAAGTTGTCTACTATCGCTCGGTCTTACCTATAAAATAGACCTCTTATAGGTTAGCGATAAAATAGTTAATATTTAGTACGTAGCAACTGTCCGAGAAGTCCTTAACCTTCTATATATAGAAGGCGTAGAATGCGTCCTTTATAGTGCTATCGATAGAAGAGTCGTCCTTAATCCGCTAGTACTTAAGATTTAGTGTTTCTACCGCCTCCTTAAAGTAGCCTCGAAGATCTCTTAAAAGAGGTGTTTATACTAGGGCAACAGCGTCTTCTTTATAACCTTCGATTACGAGTTATTAAGTGTCGAGAGCGCGCTAGTATTCGTAAGCAAATATAACATTGTTATAGATCTAATTAGTTAGAGTCCTTATATAATCTTAGAGCGACGCTAAGACTAGTAGGCTAAGCTATCGCTCTATCTTACTAGGAGCGATAGGAGCGGTCGAGAGCGATAGCGTCGCTTACGTCGCTTACAACTATAGACAAGATATCTCCTTTGTATTTAGGAACGCCGGAATGCCCTTATAGCTCGAGGCGTTTAACTTATATTACCTACTTACTAATTAGAATTACCTTTGTACTAATTATTCTGTCTCTGCCTCCCGCTTATATTAGCCTCTCTAAAGAAGCCTCGGCTTGCACGTAATAAGAAGTTACTTAACGATCTGTCGCGAGTAACCGTAACACTTTAAACGCCCTTAGGATAAGTGCCTTATTATAAGTCGGAAGGGGAACTCCCGCCCCTAGCGAGACAGGTAGTACTCGACGTACTACCTCTAGTACTAGCAATGCACTAGGAACCTATACCAGAAACGATTCTCTTAAGATCGGAAAGCTAGACTTTTATTATAGCGACCGAGACAAGTTCGATACCTAGGTTAGCTAGATAGATATATATTTTATATTTAACTAGGTTTAAGATAACTTAAAGCTAGTCTTCGCAACGACGTTTATACGAGGTAGGGCTTAGCATTAGGTTAAACTATTTCTTAGGACCTATCTAGATAGCAACGGGACCGACAATTCGGATAGAATCTTCGCAAGCTACGAAAATCTTAAGCATACGATAAAGAAGGTCTTTAGATCTTCTAACGAAGTTGCTACCGCAGTTAGGGTTATCTAACACTTAACTTAGAAGGGGTTATATGCCGATTACGCCGCTAAATTTTAGGAATACGCCTAACTTATAGATTAGGACGACGAAGCTCTTATAATAATATATCGGCGAGGTCTTAAGGATAACGTTAAAGACGAGCTTATACGCGATAGTAGAAAAATAGATAATATAGGAATATTAGTTAAGATTACGATCGATCTTAACGATAGGCTCTACGAACGAGCTTTAGAACGACGTTACGATTCTAAGACTTCTAGAAAAGCTAGTTATACTCCTAGATACGATAATAGACGAAACTATAGTACCTACGATAAACTAAAGGGGAACAACTACTACGGTACGCAACTAATAGAGCTAGACGCTACCTAGAAGGGTCGAGCAATTAAAGGAAGAAAAGGTAAGAGTTCGCCTAAGAAAGTAGGAAGATTAACTTGCTATACGTATAGCAAGGAAGGCTATATAGTACGGAACTACCGCGGCAAGAATATAGTGCGACGCGAATAGTTTAATATAATACAACGAAAGGACTCGGGTAGAGAAGGCTACCGAATAGTAGTAGAGCTATACTCTATTAATAACGCGCCGAGGACCTACGTAGAGGTCGTAAAGAAAGAGCTACGACAAATCTGTATAATAGTACGACGATAAGAACCCGTATATAGAACCCTTTACTAGAGATTCTGTTACGACGACTAATACCAAATTCATTATTCTACTAAAGTAGAAGTAGGATTCTTCCCTTAGATTAGGCGACTTGTACGAGAAGATACGAAATCCTAGTTAAAAGAAGAAACGATTAATAAATCTTGCTTAGATACCGACGATAAAGAAAACCGAGATCCGGAAGCTTTATTCCCTCCCGGGGAGGAGTTAGGAGCTATCCTAGAAGTACCGGAGTCCTCTTAGTAAGAGGAGGAACAGTAAGAAGATTTAGAAGGAAGTCTAGATACCGAGGAAGAAACTAGGAATAAAGAAAGTAAAGACGAATTCGGGATTAACGACGATACGATCCTTACGTTTATAATAGATGTACCTATAGTAGCGCGAACAATCGCCTTACATCTAGTACGCAAATACAAGGAAATGTTTCTAAAGGTTAACAAATAACAGAAGGTCGATCCTATCTAATTTAATTATTTCTAGATAAGCTTATAGGCAAAATTCTAGAATTACCCCCGGATACCTATAGACTATACGTACTATAACTTCATTACGGAGCGAGTACCGATAGGAAGTATAATTACGCCCTATAGATACGTTCTACCCGACGAAAGGACGATTATTACTTAAGATATACGTTAGACGGTCTAGCGATTAAATTAGCAATACCGAAAGGCTATAGCAGCGTAGGGACGGGATATATATAACGATACCCTCGAGGAAAAATTATATACCGAAGAAGTACGAACGGTAGGACTACGGATCCGTAACTAGTTAGAACAACGTTAGGCTACTAATTAGTCGGGAAACGGACTAACTCTCTAGATTAGAGCGTTCTAAGAGAGTTCTTTAATACCGAAAGCGCTTAAGCATTAATAGCAGTCTTCCGCACAAAAGTTATCGTTAACGGGCACCCGACGAGTATATTAATAGATTCCGGAGCGAGCGGGAACTTTGCCTCCGAATTATTCGTTAAAAGCCGAGGGATCGTAACCCGAAGTAGAAGAGAAGGAGCGTATAAACTTATAGTAGTAGATAGGTCACCGCTACCTAGTATAGAACGAGAAACGATACCGTTACTACTAGCTATCTAGTGGCACTACGAGGAGATTGTCTTAGATATTACTAACATAGCTAGTTATAATATTGTATTAGGCATACCTTAGTTAAGAAAGCATAACCTAGTCGTAAACTAGAGAAAAGGAGTACTTATATTTAAGGAATGCGACTATATAATCGGCATTCAACCTATATAGCGGCAGCGTTCGTAGGCAGATAAGATTAACAAACGTAGGGCGACTCGTAAGACGTTTACGTCGATAGGAATTACGGAGAACCGTATTTAACCCGGATCGACACCACCGTTAGGTTAGGAGGGTTATAATAATAATTACGGGAAGGATAGAAGTTATACGCTATCGAAGAATAAAACTAGAATCTCGGACCTAGATATTCCTAAAGAGTATAGTAAGTAGAAGCGACTCTTTAAAGAGGAGAGAGGCAAGGCAGCCTTACCTAAACACTAACTATAGGATTATAAGATATACTTACAGCCTAGGAAAGAGCCTCTATAGGGACCCTTATACGCAATGTCTAAGAAAGAGCTTAAAACCCTAGACAAGTAGCTAAAAGAGAAATTAGAAAAAGGCTAGATACGGAAGTCGACATCCTCGGTAGCCTTACTAGTAATATTCGTTCCGAAAGCCGGATTAGACGAAGGACGGCTAGTAGTCGATTTTAGACGACTTAACGACATTATAATTAAGAATCGGTACCTACTACCGAACATCGAAGAAATATAAGACCGATTAACTAGATTAGACTAGTATACGAAGATTGACCTACGCGATGCGTTTTACGCAATACGTATAGTAGCTAGATACGAATAGATAACAGCATTCCGAACAAGATATAGGCTTTACGAATTCTTAGTTATACCTATAGGACTTACAAATGCCCTAGCGTTATATTAAGACCTTGTAAACGAAGTCCTCCGAGACCTTCTAGACGTATGCGTTATCGTATATATAGACGATATCTTAGTCTATACTAAGGGAGCTCTCGCGGACTATATACGAATAGTATAGGACGTCTTTAAACGATTTACTTAAGTAGGATTTAAGACTATACCTAAGAAATGCGAATTCTATAAGAAGGAAGTTAAATTCCTAGGATTTATTATTAGTACTATAGGAATTAGGATCGATCTAGAAAAAACCAAGTTAATACAGGAATAGCTAACGCCTATATACGTTAAAGACGTATAATCATTCCTAGGATTAGCTAACTATAATAGAAAATTCATCGAGGGCTACTCTAAGACAGCGGCACCCCTTACGGAGCTTATAAAGAAAGACAAGAAATAGAACTAGAGTACGAAGGAAGACGAAGCGTTTAGGTAGCTAAAGAAGCAATGCGTTTCTACGCTAACGCTACGATTATTCGATAGGAATAAGGCGGTCTAGATAGAAATAGACGCGTCGGATAGGGCTATAGGAGCATGCCTTATATAGGAGTATAACGGGAAACGATACCCGGTAGCCTATTACTCGAGAAAGATATTACCCGCGGAACAGAACTACGATATCTATAATAAGGAGCTACTTACAATAGTTGCATTACTATAATACTAGCGAGTATACGCGGAAGGAGTACTAAGTCTTACGATTCTTTCTGATTATAAGAATCTAACTTACTTTACTACGACTAAAGTACTAACCCGAAGACAGGCCCGCTAGTCGGAGCTACTAGGACAGTACAAGTTCGAAATCCGCTATACCCTAGGACGCGAGAACGGACGAGCCGACGCACTAAGCCGCCGTAGCGACTATATAGAGGGTTACGAACTAGTATAGTAGCAGATATTAAAAGCAAACTAAGACGGAAGCCTTAGTGCTAATATAAAAGAATTCAACTATATTATACGAGTTCTTTAGGATATAGAAGAATAGTTTCTAATCGAATATAGGAAATACTAAGTACCTAAGGAACGAGTTACAGAGTGTATACGACAATACTACGACGGACTAGAAAATAGACACCCTAGAGTTTTAAAAACAATAGAACTAGTTAAGCGAAGCTTCGGATTCCTATATATACGACAACGAGTTCTAGAATATATTAAGAAATGTCTACAATGTTAGCGTAACAAGGCTAATAGACACGCTAGATATAGACACATCTAATTTAGGACGCTACTAGATAAACTATAGGACGAAGTTACAATAGACTTTATTACGAAACTACCGAAGTCTAAGGATCCGGTTATAGGACATAGCTACGATATAATACTTGTTATAGTCGATAGGCTTACGAAATATATATACTTCATTCCTGCTAACGAAGCAAGTACGGCAGAGCAACTCGGATACCTCGTACTAGATAGACTTATACGATACTACGGATTTCTAAAGACCTATATTACGGATAGAGACAAGCTCTTTATATTAAACTACTAGAAGACGCTTATAGCGACACTTAGAATTAAGTATAAGCTATTAACGGCATACTATCTATAGATAGACGGCTAAACGGAAGTTAAGAATCAGGCCTTAGAGGTATACTTACGGTACTACGTCAATTACGTATAAAACAATTAGGTATCGCTATTGCCTATAGCACAACTTGTACTAAACAACCAATAATCTAAGACTACGAAAGAGACACTATTCTTTGTTAGGACCAAAGAGGTTATACGTAATTGGCATATAACTAGGCTCGAGTAAAGCTAGGGTCTCGATGCCTTAGGCAGGGCTTAGCGCTTAGCGTTAGGCCAACTAGCCTGCCTTCCTCCCTCTCCTCTTAGATCTTTATCGAATACTACCTATACCTACGACTACCCTATCTACCTGCTAACATACCCTTCTTATATAGTATTCGATCTACCCTTTAAGGGCAGCAGCTAGATAGTTCTTATTTCAAGCTTTTAGCGGTATAGCTACGAACAAGACTAATCTAACTATATTGCGCCCGAAGAACGGGACCTATACGTACTATTCTATCGAGACAACCGTACTAATTATTAAGCGAGGCCTTCTATACGGCCTATTACACTAAGTCAATCGTACTAGACTAATATCTACTAATTCCGCTATATCCGCATCTTAGAGGCTAATAATACATTATTAGTGTTACCCCCTATTACAATAGCCGGCTTATTACGAAGCAACAACAACTGTGCTACCGCTAGCAGCGCTAGCAATAACAACGCTAGTAGCACAGTGCCTACTACTAAAGTGCCTACTAAAGCACCTACTAAGGTGCCTCCTACCGAAGAGCCTACTATAGGACCTGCTAAAGAAGAACTTGCAATTCTAGGTAACGACCTAGAATTGCCTATCGACGACATTCTTAATAATATTATCAACCGTCGATATAGCTAGCTAGCCTTTAGTCCCTAACTAGTAGCGAGACTTTAAGAAGCTACCTAAAATAGGCTTACTGCCTTGCGTTAAGAACAACAGCTAAAGGATAATCTTCTCGAGATTCGCCGCCTCTAGGAATCTCTAACAACTACTGCTAAGCTAACAGTAGGACCTTCTTTACTACCTATCTAAAAGAAGGATGCTAAACTTAAGGACTATACCGTATTTAATAGCTCTAGTCGAAAGCAGTACAACGACTACATTCGTAACTATAAACTCAACTAGCGCAATGCACTAAGAGCGCTACTAGACGACTATTCCTTAGTCGTATACGCTATACAGTATATTAATAGCGACCTAAAGCGTATATAGGATAACTATTTCGACTCCCTTAATAACTAGACTGCTGTTTAGTAGCAAACCTATAAAACTATTATGCTAGATACCCTTAGAAACCCTATACTAAGGCAATAACATACTTAGGACCTGTATCTTCGAGCTAAATAGAAGACTAATTAATCGGCTCGCTTATTTGAAGCCTATTTAAAGACCCTCGAGGATGACCTTCCGCCTAAGACTAATTCTATATAGATCTCGGAAATACGCCTAAAACTTAGATAGGAACTTATCCTCGAATTAGACCGTCGCCGCGTATTCGAACAAGCTAACCTAACACGTATTTAATTCATAGTCGAAGTGGAAATAGCCGAACGAGCTGTCTAGCTCTAATAACGACTAGAATTAAGGATCCGACTAGCTAGTACTAACCGTAGCAATCGTAGTAGCCGCGGAGGAAACTAAGGTTCCTACTAAGACAACAATACTAATAGTAGGAATAGTAACAACGACCGTAGAAGGGGCCGTAGCCGGCGACTATATAGAGGAGGCCGCGATAGGGGCCGTAGAAGGGGCTCGTATCCCTATAATGCTAACCGCTCGGCTAACAATAGCAACAACAGCTACGGCAACCTACTAACCGGATTGAAGTGCTTTAATTGTAATAGCACTAGCTATCTACTAGGCTAATGCGACAAACCTAAGAACTAGGCCCGAATTAACCGTGCTTCCGCTAAGTATAGGAAACACCTTTTAGCCGCTAATGCTACCCTAGTCGGCTCTTTTAATTAGTCGAAAAAAGAGTAAGCGCTGCACTAACTATTAGCCTTGTGCGGCGTAAGACTATCGACATTGTGCTAGCTATTATACGTACCTGTCTTATATCTAGGCCCGACACTAACTATAAGGCAAAGGTTATACTAGACCCCGGAAATTCAGTTAGCGCCCTTATTAGCTATCGCCTAGCTAAGCAATTAGACCTTCGACAACTGCCGAGGACTAACCTGCCAACCCTTACTTAGTTTAATAACGCTCGGCACTTGACCTATAGAGCCTACTATATTCCTATAGTTCTAAAAGACGACCTCGGAAATGAACGCCTACTAAACTTTACTATCTACGCGGTAGATATAGACAGCCTCCTATCCGACATTGTTATTAGCAACCCTGTTCTTAAGTACTATGCTATAGTTATAGACTTAGGCAGTTAACAATAGCGATTTAGAATCGCTAGGAAAGAGGACATTAAACATATTAATGTTAGCGAGTGCCCTAACGATATTAGGGTCCTATTTATTAGCAACCTGACACCTGCCTTAGCTAATCCGACTACCGACCTACTCGGTAGTAACGACGATAAACCTATGCCCCCTAATAATCCTAATTAGCTTGCTCGTATACTAGAGCCTATCCGAGAGACCTATATTAATATGTTTAAATACTACCTAGTATCGACATTGCCTATGTTTAAAGAGACGGATTATAAGATTAACATTATAGAGGGCAAAGAGGTTCCTTTTAGCCCCCTCTACAATCTTAGTAAGCGAGAGCTTACTATGTTACGTAAGTACCTAGAGGAAAACCTAGCTAATAGTCGAATTCGGTATAGTAACAGCCCTGCTAGTATACTAATCCTGTTTGTTCTAAAGAAGGATAGTAGCCTACGGTTATGCGTTAATTACCGTAGGCTTAACGCTATTACTATTAAAGACCGCTGTCTACTCCCCCTTATTAATAAGACCCTCGATCGCCTTTCTAAGGCTTACTACTATACTATACTAGACATTAAGGATGCGTACTACCGTATCCGCATTCGTAAGGGTAACGAATAGAAAACAGCCTTCTATACTCGCTATAGCTATTTCGAATACTTAGTTATGCTATTTAGCCTAGCTAATGCCCCTATAACATTCTAGTCCTATATTAATCGAGCCCTTTTAGGACTATTAGACTATCTCTGTATAGTTTACCTAAATAACATCCTAGTTTACATATATTTACCTAATATTATAGAACACTAGGCCGCAGTACGCAAGGTCCTCGACCGCCTACGAGCCTATAGACTATATTGCAAACCTTCTAAATGCACCTTTGCTACTAAGGAGGTGTCCTTCCTTAGCTTCCTCGTATTAACTAAGGGTGTTAAGGCTAATCCTAATCGGATTAAAACTATTACTAAATAGCCTATTCCTACGTTAATTAAGGAACTGCAGTCGTTCCTCGGCTTCGCTAATTTCTATCGTCGCTTTATTAAGGGCTATTTACGGCATATAATGCCCCTAACTAAGCTTACTAAAACTAAGGCCAACCTAACTAGAGAGTTCAAATAGACTAATAGAGCACAAGCCGCTTTTAACGGCCTAAAGCAACGCTTTACTAATGTCCCCTTATTATACTATTTCGTGCTAAGCAAGCAGATCCGAATTAAGACTAACGCTTTACAGTTCGCTATATCGGCTATTATATTATAGCAATCAGATAATAACTATTACTAGCACCCGATTGCCTTCTTTTTACGAAAGATAATCGATATAGAACGTCGATATAAGACCTACGAGTAAGAGCTCTTAGCAATCGTAGAGGCCTTTAAGTATTAGCGCTACTATCTTAATAGTGCTTAGTACACAATTTAGGTCTATACAGACTATAACAACCTACGTAGTATTACTAAGGTTACAAGGGTTATAGGTCGATAGGCTAGATAGGCCGTCTACCTCGCTAGGTTTGATTTTAATATGTTATACCGGCTAGGCGTAAGTAACCCTGCCGATAGCCTATCGAGGCGACCTAATTACGATAGCGAGACCTAATATATTAATTCTTTATTTCCAACCCTGTAGTATAAGATTGCTATAGCCCGTGTTGTTAATAAGCAAGCGCAGGATAAGCGGACTTCCGGACTCCGCGGCGGCAACAAATACTATAGCGGAGTTGTCGTTCTTCTAGTGTACGTTAGAAAGGACGTAGATCGCTTAAGCTATAATAACTCGATTAAAGACATTGCTATCTATAGTAATAGCCTATATAGCGACAGTACTACAGAAGAGGTTGCAGTAGTTCCGGCTGCTAGTGCTATTAGATGCATATAATACGTACCTCGTTTAATAGCGAGGGTGCTATTAAATAACCTTACAAATAGGGATAGTTAATCGTTTATAGATAAGCTGTTACGTACTTAGTAGAGGGACGCCTTTACTATCGAGCGTATTAATAGGCTTATAAGTAGACGGGCGACTCGATCTAGCAAGAGTAATAGTTAGTCGATCGACGATAAAGGTTACTTAAAGTTTAAGGGTAGGTACTATATCCCCGCTAAACAATCGATTAGATAAGAGCTTTTAAAGAGGCACTATAATAGTAAACTCGCTAGTTACTATAGTATAGAGAGGTCGCACGAGTTACTATCGCGTATATACTACTAGCTAAATAGTAAGCAGTATATAAAGGAGTATATACAGACCTGTGCAGTATGCTAGCGAGTTAAAGCACTAAAGCACTTACTATTTAGCGAGTTGGCTTTACTCCCTGTTCTAAAGAAGCCTTTTGCAGAGCTTATAATAGACTTTATTATAGGTCTTCCCCCTACTAAGCGAAGGGGAAGCAAAGACGTCTTTAACGCTATACTAGTTATTATAGACCGATTTACTAAGGGTGCTCGTTACATTCCTGCTCGAAAGGATTGGACTGCTATTAATATAGCTAAAGCCCTATAGAACAACATCTTCTGCAGCTATTAGGGGACCCCTAAGGGGATAGTCTCCGATAGGGGCTCGATATTTATATCGCACTATTAGAGCGAATTATGCCTATAGCTAAGACTGAAGCATCGGCTATTAACAGCCTTCTATCTATAGACTAACGGTCAAACAGAGAGGCAAAATGCCACGCTATAGTAGTAACTGTATAGCTACATTAATAAAGACCCTAATAGATAGGTTAACCTTCTATAACTAGCCGAATTCGTATATAATAATAGTATATATTTATTAACTAAGGTCTTACCCTATATAGCTATAATAGGCTAGAACGCTGCTATGCTATAAGACCCCCTATCGCTCGAGGCCGAGCGTAAGGAAAGGGAAGCGCGTTAAGTACCCGAAATACTAGCGGCTATTAAGAGGGTTTAGAAGATGCAAGAAATCTATACTAAGATAGCCGAGAAGTTGACAAAGGCTTAAGAGTACTAAAAGACCTACTACGACAAGCACTATACGCTAAGGACCTTTAAATAAGGCGATATAGTTATACTAAGTACTAAGAACCTCCGCATCCGCAAGCACCTATTACCTAACGGCAAAACAAGGCCTAAGCTCGCACTAAGATACATTAGTCTATTCCGTATTCGAGAAGTTAAGGGCTCCTCTATATAGGCCTATTAGTTGTAGCTTCCTCCTTATTACACTATCTATAATACCTTCTATATATCCCTCCTTAAGCTATATTACCTACGCGAGGGGGATAAAGCCCCTACTAAACACGAAGACATACTAGCGGATAGTAAAGAGCTGTAGTTTATAGAACGTATTCTAAAGCACCGGACTAGGCAAGGCAAGAAGGAGTACCTATTAAGATAGCAAGGCTATTCACCTAAATAGGACTTATAGGAAGCTAAAGGTTCCTTTAAGGATATAACTAAGTTGTTAGATAAGTATTAGACTAGTATAAAGAATAAGAAGAAGGCTAAGGGCCTATAATGTCGCCTAGGAATAATACTATCCCCGGGGTGCTATTAGCTAACTAATTAGAGACAAGCAATTATTAGCAACAAAGGACAATAAGACTATACTAGGCGTACTACGACGCGTTAATTAATCAATCGCATGCTCTTTTAAGGGCTCTACCTCTTTACTAATGCGCCCTATAAGGCCCTTCTCCTAGTATTTAAGTCCCCCTCTTATTCCTTTATTCTATTAAAACCTAAGGCCTAGGCGGTCGATAGAGGCAGCGCGCGCGCGTAGACGAATAGTATTAGTAATAATAATAGTGACGACGGCGTTACGCTTGCGCTAAAGGGCGACACAGCCGGCGCGGCTATATTAGTAACAGTATTACGGAGTGTGTTATTAGTCGACGAAGGAAATCGAAAGCAAGGTAAAGTTAGCGCTAAGACGACTAGCGCCGCTATTATTAACATTACTTGCTATTGTTACTATACCTACGGACACAACCTTACCTGCACTACGAGCCTAAGGCACCTTTAATTAAAACTTTAATCAAAACTTTAAGCCGCCTAAAAGATTAAGCGACTAATAGACTAACTAAGGGCAAAACTATAGAGCTAAGCTAGCCGGGGTCGATCTTGCGGACAATAGGTTACTCCTCGATCTATCTAATCCTTTAAGCGAGGCGAACCTCTACTACTACACTTATAATAGCCTTTACCTATAGAAACTAGAAGAACTAAGTTTTTTGAAAAGATATAATTAGTTAACACTTAAAGGCTGCTAAACCTAACTAATTAGGGCTAGTAAAACTACGACAGTAAATAATAGCCCTCGTAACAATAAGAACAACCCTCGGAACGGACAAACCCTCGGAAGCGGACATTGCTAGGTCTTTTAAGAGTAGACGCAAAGAACTCGGTACGACATTACTTAGAACGGAGGCAGGGCTATAATACCTCGTACGTCTACCTATTATAGTAGGGAAGACGCGCTCGTATTGTAATTAGTCGATAGTCTCTAATTCTTATAGTTATATATTACTTTATTATATATAAGGATAGCGTAGTTAGAGTTAGACATTGTGTTATATTAGAGGTAAGGTTTGACATAGTTACATAATCGGTAATTGTGTGTTTAATTTAGCGCGGACTAAGAAGCTTACTAGACCTGCTAAGTTAGCAGCGACAGAGGTTGAGAATAGAATATAGACCGGCTACGAGGGCGCGGCCTTTAGAAGGGAAGCGTATATTAGGACCAAAGAGGTTACACGTAATTAGTATATAACTAGGCTCGAGTAAAGCTAGGGTCTCGATGCCTTAGGCAGGGCTTAGCGCTTAGCGTTAGGCTAACTAGCCTGCCTTCCTCCCTCTCCTCTTAGATCTTTATCGAATACTACCTGTACCTACGACTACCCTATCTACCTGCTAATATACCCTTCTTACATTCTTCGCTAATTTTAGGAAACATCCGTAGCTATTCGGGGAACAGTATTTATAGCATCTATACGCGGATAAAGCGATAGTCGCTTTAGAAGACTTAAAGCAGGTATATAAAGAATTGCAAAGGGCAATTGCCGAGTCTTAAGAAAAGATTATAGGACTATATAATACTAAACGAAAAATAGCACCTTAGCTAAAAAAGGGGGATAAGGTCTACCTCCTAATAAAGAATCTAAAAACCCGGAGATCGACTAAGAAACTAGACTACGTTAAAGTCGGGCCATTTTTGATTAATAAGCCTAAAGGACTAGTTAATTACCGACTTAAACTACCGGACGACGCGAAAATCTACCTAGTATTTCATATCTCTATACTAGAACCTATAGACGCCGAAACACCGTATTAAGAAACATTTCACTTCTAACCTAAGGAAGAAAATAAGTTTAAAGTCGAGGAAATCCTAGATTAGCAAGGTTAGAAATACCTTATTAAATAGAAAGGATACCTACATTTAGAAAACACCTAGGAACTAAAAGAAAACCTATAGAACTATTAGTAGATAATTAAAAAATATCAAAACCGGACAAAAAAGAAATAACTAGTATAAGAATTAAACCTACGACCTCTTAGACCCTATCGATTATAGCGCCTTAGAGTTCTTAACGACCTAGGGCAGTATAGCTCGAGGAGCGGGGACTCTAATAGCGTACCTAGCAACTATGTCTTTTATAGCTAAGAATTATACTACTAGACTAACTAGCTAGAAGATAAAATAGATAGGAAACATTAAAAATATATACCTTTAGGACACTAGACTCTCGGCACTCCTACTAGGGATTTTAGAGATAGGCTAGGATGTCCTATCTAGACGACTCTAGTTATAAGGCGATATCTATAATCGGCTATCTAGGGGAAACGGCTCGTTAGTAGGCAACGAGAATATTATCGGCTCTATAGGCGAAGAGCCTAGCTCTCTTTCGAGCTCCTCCGCCTATTAAATAGAGGCTTCCTCTGCCTTAAGAGCTTGTATCTCCTAATCCTCCTTTATACGCAGCGACTTACGTAAGCGACGGACCTTTACGCGATACTCGAAAAGCTTCCGCGTAAGGAGGTCCTCCTCCTCTTCGGCCGCTTCGAGATCTTTAGCTATCTTTAGGCGCGCCTTCCGGATTTTTTTATACTCTATACGAGTAACTTATATATTATAGGACTAGCCGTATAGGGCGCACTCGGAGTAGCGACGGGAACGAAGATCGACTTTATAGGGTTTACCGGCCTATTCGTAATAAAAGTAGCGGATCGGTATTTCGAGGCAGTCGGCGAGGATATTATTTACGATATTTTCCTTACGCTAGCGAGAAGACAAATCCTTAGATAACTTTAGTATAATAAAGAAGTTAGAATTAGAAAGTCCCGGAATAAGGGACTATTCCGCTTAAGGAGGGGGATAGTATTACGGATCTAATTAGTTAGAGTCCTTATATAATCTTAGAGCGACGCTAAGACTAGTAGGCTAAGCTATCGCTCTATCTTACTAGGAGCGATAGGAGCGGTCGAGAGCGATAGCGTCGCTTACGTCGCTTACGACTATAGACAAGATATCTCCTTTATATTTAGGAACGCCGGAATGCCCTTATAGCTCGAGGCGTTTAACTTATATTACCTACTTACTAATTAGAATTACCTTTATACTAATTATTCTGTCTCTGCCTCCCGCTTATATTAGCCTCTCTAAAGAAGCCTCGGCTTGCACGTAATAAGAAGTTACTTAACGATCTGTCGCGAGTAACCGTAACAAACATTTAGGCCTAGAAACAGCTCGATATATCGACGTTGTTATAGCTCGCTAATCTCGAGTCTATTAAACAGGTAGTTACGTAGAATATAGTAACAAGGTAGGCGAGTTTGAAACTAGGCGAGGCAGTTGTAGCGAGCCGGTATTATATAGTTATAACTACGTAGTATGCCCTTATATATAGGTACTGCCTTAGCCTCTATTTTAATAGCAATATCTACCTGTTCTCGAATATAATCCTAAGTAGCTAGTAGCTACAGTGTCTCGAAGCCTAGAAGGCCCTTATAGTACTAATATTGTGTGCGTTTGCCGAGCCTATAACTAGCTAGCTATGCCTTATAAGCCTACCTATCGTCGACCTTAAGAACCTCGATAATAGTACTATATAGTATATAGAATACTAGGTTGCGCTTATTGCGGTTATACTTAATAGTATAGTAATAGCCCTCTAAGGGCGAGGTAGTCCTTATTTGTAGCAATAATAGGCTATAGAGCCGTACCTAAGTTGCCTATTTCCGTAAAGTTTAGCTATTCTAATTATAGCGTATATATTAGACCTTGTCCTGCTATCCTGTAGGCTTATACTCTTGTAACTACTCTTAAATCTATACTATATCGGTACTAACGTCGCCTGCGCTACGTACGTAGTAGATTAAGTAGTAAAACCGCTTAACAATCTCTAGAAATTAGGCCTCTAGAAACGAGCGAAGGAAGGTCTCTTTAACGTGCTGCTAGCAGAGGTAAATTCGTACCTCGTTATCCTTCTACGAGAGGGCAATAGCCGCCTATTCTAAGGCCGAGTCGTCGACTATAGCCGCAATAGGCTTCTATAGTAGTAACTATACCTTAATAGCTCGAAGTCCGGCTTCTACGAGCTTAGCTTTCTACGATTCTAGCAATAGGTAGCCTGCTAGTAGCTAATAACCTAACGCATTACGAACATAGATAGTAAAAAGGTTCTAACTAAGGTCGGTAGTCTTATAAGTCGCGTCTAGCAAGAACAACTGTATAGTATATAAGTTAGTAATGTTTTAAATTTTTAAAGTTAGTAGTAGGAACTATAGAACGCAAGCTTTAGAAGCTTAGTTATACGCCTACTTTCTATACTACTACTACTACTAATAACAACACTTATATCTCCTGCCTCGGTATTTAATAACTCTCGTTACTACTCGCTCTAAAAGACAATACTACGCTCTATCTTGCCCTTTAGCATCTTCGATATAACCTAGAAATAGAGCTCTTTGCCGTCTATATTATTACAAATACCCTTAAGCGCGATAGCAAGGTCGTCTAGCTAGATACTCGTATTTCTACGGTTACTAGTACGAGCCTTCCTTAGGTTAGGCCTAATCTTTAACTACGCTACAATACTAGCCTTTAGATACTACCCGCTAATCTTACTAAACTCGTCCTTTAATAGCCCCCTTTTAACGAATTCTAGCACCTTAGCAACGTTAAAAGCGCGCTATTCTATTAATTCCTCGAGGAGGACTTTTAGAGCGTTACTTACTAACCGAATATCTATATATCTTAGGTCGTAGCAATATAGGTTATTACTAATCGCTAAAGGGTCGCTTCTATAGCGGCGGACACTAATTTTATATAGATTAGTCGCTCTACTCCGATAATGCGATATAACGACTACTATAGCGTTATACGGCTCTTTATTATATTTAGCCTTACGAATGCCCTCTCCTAGTAACCTATTCCGCTACTAATCGCGCCTATAACGATAATACTAGTACGACCGCTGCTCTAATCTATCCTTCGTTCTTAGCGACTTTAACTCCTTATATATATTGCTTATATAGCCTTTTAGTACCTCGAAGCGCTTAGGCTCGAACGTTAATCTATACGAAGGGATATTAAATAGCTACTCTCGGATATCGATAATATCGTATAGTATATAGTCTAGCCTAAATAGCGGCACTAGTTTAGTTAATATAGGCGGTATAGTAACAATAGTAAACTAATTGTGCTATTTGAACTATTAGAAAGAGCTTAATCTATATATAAGAAATAGCTATAGAGATAAGGTTAGAATCGGAGGTATAACCGAGAAGGTTAACCCGGTACTAGAATAGGAAAAGCACCGTCGATTACTAGGCAAACCATACTAAGTCAGTAGATAACGCCCTCCGGAAGTAAACCACTGTTGCAAACAGTGGTACGCTAAATTTCCTGACATACAAGAATTGCTGGAAGGTGTTTCTGTGCGAAGTACCGCCCGCTGATCAATTGTACCTAATACGGTATGTGCGGAAGGAGACCAGGATTCGTTTTTGTGCTTTGGGCTTCAACTTCGTAGCGCGTAGCCTTGCTGGGAGCGCCTCGTCATTCCAAATTTCGGCCGCCGCGGTCCCGCCTGCTGTTGATGTTAACGTTACACCACTGGCACGTGTTAAGGTGTGGTGGGTGCTCCGCGGATGGGGTTGCAAGGCAAGGGAGGCAGGCTTTTTGCAGAGAGACTCTGAGAGAGGCACTGTTGCATTCGTTGCATTACATGTTCTACAAACTCTACAGGTAGTGGGCGCAACTGACATCATCCGACAAGGGTGGGGGGGCTTCCGCAACGCCTCGCGCCGCGCCGTGCCGCGCCCAGTCTTCATCCTGTGCTCTTGGCTCGTCGTGCATGATCGTGCGTTATCAGCAGGCTCTTCGGCTGTGAGACGCGGACTCCGCTGCGGCCTGGCACTGCACTGCACTGCACTGCACGTTGACCGACCAGCGGCATTGGAATTTGGGGGACAGATCGCATCGTCGAGAGAACTGGCCTGGCCACAGCACAGCCTGGAGATTGGAGAAGTGCAAGTACACACAGAACACAGGCAGAACAGATCGCGTGCCATTACGTAGAGCTGCTGAAGCGAGGCGCATGGTGGAGGGTCAACTCCTCCGACTCCAACAGCACAGGCGCAGGCGCAGGCGCAGGCCCAGGCCCACCGTCACACGCACCTGAGTCTTCCATTCTCTCAGCCTGAGCCTGACATCCATCCATACCACACTCCTACCTGCATCTCCCATACATACGAACACGCACGCCCACGCCGACGCGCGCATCGAAGCGAAGCGAAGCGAAGCCGAAGCCTTGCAAGGCCGCTGCAGCTGCAGGGCAGGCCAGGGCAGGGCTGGTCCATATATCTGCCTTTTAGCTTCCGTGCCTTCGATCGCGTCGACGCCCTGTCAGAAATGTGTACAGGGTAAATGCCAGATCCAGAACGACCAACTTGCACGGCCAGCCCGCGAAACTCTAGGTAAGCTCCACTCTCTACAACCAAAATGGACGTTGGGCACGAAGGGAAGTCCCTGCGAAATCAGACTCGAGCGGCTGCTGTGCTGGCGAGGCAGTCTGCTGCCACCACGCCGACCGCACATCTGCCAGAGCCGCGTGAATGCGAGCGGAGGCCGTCGCAGACTCCCTCCTCGTCCGTGCCCACACCGAGCCTGAGAGTGCAATCTGCTATCGCGCCACCCTGCTGCTGCGAACCCAACGTTGCACAGCGTCGCCCATCCGCCGCCCGCCCGCCTGCCTGCGAAAGAAACATGTGCTGACCACACACACCATGGAGCAGACCAAGACCTCCTCATATACCGGCGCCAGCCTCAAACGACCGCGCCCGCGTTCCTCCATCTCCTTGGGCTCCTCGTCGATCCTCGTCCCTCGAGTCAAGCCGATCGCCGAACTCACCATGTCCTACAACCACCGGCCGCTGTCGCCAGGTGGCAGGCGCCTCCAGAATTCCGCTCGCCTGTCCGACAACACCTTGAACGATTCTTCCCACTACCCCCAGCGACATAACTCCTATGCCTCGCCAAGAACCAGCACCAGCGGTGTTATCCCCATCTCCACCCAGACATTCATCAATGTCCCTCCACCTCAGAATCCTCGACCAGTCCTGCAATACGATTCCTACTCGGGCAGACCACGACGCTCGTCACTCGTCGATACTTCCCGAGCCTCTGCTGCAAGTGCCATTGCCAGTACAACTCAGCTGCCCTCTCGGAGCAGACCGACAATCATTCAGCAGGACATTGGTCGTCCAGCCAGCCCCACCAAGATCAGCACACGCGACACGAAGGACTACTATGTCACGCCAGTATCGTCACAGGAGCCTCGTACAACCATGACCACCCACAAGAAACTCTACAGCGTTGATGGAGACGGCAGCGCCAAGCTTGTGGCTGACGTCAATATCCCTGTTGAGGCAGGAGGAAATCGACATCACAAACGAAGAGAAAGCGTCGAGCGAGGTGGCTATAGATCGGTAGGAGTGGAGCAGCAGCGGGACCGTGGAAGGGTCGGCCGGAGCTACCATACGAACGGTACCCACAACCGCCCACGAGATAAGAGCATTGACGACGAGGATGCATATTCGTACACAGACGCTGCAGGCATGTATCGCGACACCGAACCAAGATGGAGAGATGTCCGACCAAGACGAGGCAGTGTCGACCGTGGAGGTGCCACAAGTCGCGAGCGTCCTGTGAGCCTTCTTGACCCAACTTTCGGACAGCGGCAGCCTGCCAAGGATGCCGGCCCTCCGCCAAGCACCCGAGGCTGGGACCGGGTAAACGACCACCTTGGAAGGACGAGTAGCGTGAGAGAGCAGCCGCGTGTTGCGCAATCACCCACGCGTGGCAGAGCCTACACGGAGTACAATGACCCCAGAGACTCGTACTATGTGCCGCCAAGAACCAATTCCTCGGACCGCAGGACCACTGTGCATCAGCCTTATGATGCTTATGAATACGACCGGGAGCCAAGACGGACCGAGCGTCGCCACAGCATCACTCGTGACGGCAATAGGCTAGACAGAAGTGTGGAACGACGAGGCTTTGGAATTGCCCCCGCAGCTGCCGCCGTTGCTGGAATTGCTGCGGCAGGCGCTTACCGTGAAGGAAGCCAGACCAGAGCTGCACGAGGCGATGGTCGAGGAAGTGATGAGAGCTTCGAACGACCTCAATACCGGGACTCGGGCTACCCACCTTCGGAACCACATCGACGAGACGCCGCTCCTGAGCTGCATCAACATGACTATCAACGACTCGAGCAGGAAAAGAGAGATCGCGAATATGCTCAAAGGATCCAAGCGGAAGAACGTGATCGTCAACGTGAGCGAGAGCTGCGTGATGCTCAACCTAGGCGAGACGATCGTGGCTATGACCGAGACTACGAGAGGGAACGAGATCGCGCTCGAGACCGGGAGTATGAGCGCGATAGGGAACGCGAGAGAGAGCGCGCCCGACAGATGGAAGCACCGTCTGATCGTGATAGGGATCGAGAGCGGGACCGCGATCGTGAGCGACACCATGAACGCAGAGGCACTGATCGTGGCGAGCATGGTCGTAAAGAGAACAGTCCTCGCCAAAGCGGTGAAGCTCTCAACTCCAAGACTGGACTCTCTCAGGCAGCCACAGGAGGTCTTGCGGGCGCTGCTGCGGCATTTGGTCTCACAGGTCTGCTCAACAAGGTCTCTGACAAGCGCGACAAGGACAAGGAGCGAGACGACGAAAAGGACAGGGAGCGTGAACGTGAACGTGAACGACATGAGCGTCGCCGTGATGAAGAGCGCGAGCGCGAACAGGAACGAGACCGAGACCGAGAGCGCGAGCGGAGGCCTGCCAGCGATGAGCCACCTCACGAACGACAACAAGACCGTGATCGCGAAAAGCAAGACAAAGGCCTGGGCTTTGCGTTTGAAGCCCCACCTGATCCACCAAGAAGCGCACCTCCTATGGACCTCCGACCACCCACAAATCCGGAATGGCAGCAAGAGCGCCCTCAACCGCCTCGAACCGAGGAGCGTGTGCCAGATCGCTCATACGACAGAGGATCTGACCGTGCTTCCGAGCGACCGGTCGAAAGAGCCCCAGAGCATGTCCCAGAACCTTACCAAGATCGACAAGCTCCGACTGGCAATCAAGAACGCCCTGCTCCACGCGAGCGTGAAACTCAGTACGACAGCCAGGCGACAGCTCAGATGCCCGCCCTCCCTGTCGATCCTGATGAGGATTATCGCCGCCGAATGGAGCAGATTCAGCGCGAATTAGGACGCACGGGAGAATCATCTCAGAACTCAGACTCCGATCCTGATCGTGAACGTCGCCGGCGCGAGCGGGAGCAGCGTCGACGTGAACAGCGAGAGAGTCGCGGCGGTGCTGCTCCACCGGCTCAGATGCCTACCATGCCAGGAGCGTTCATCGATGACTTGTCATCGACGGTCACCGGTACCACAGCATCTGAGAGCACTGTCGTAGGCGGCGACCGTGACCTCCGCAGGAAGCCAAGCATTCTTGACGGCCCCATGACGAACGAGTCCGCGCAGATTATTGACAACAGCATGAGCGACAAGCGCGAGAATCGTGTGCGCATCGTCGATCCACCTACTGCAGAAGAGGAAGAAAGGAGGCCCAAGGGTATCCTGAAGAAGCCAACCGAGAAGTTCCCGGAGCACCCTGACGCTATCCGCGAAGGTGTTGCACCGCTCAAAGATGTAAGTTCTTCGCTGGAAACCATTCCACTTTTCCATGCTGATCGAAATAGGCCACGAAGAAGGGAATACCGCCAGGTGCTCGGTGGACCAAGATTGATCGCCGCTTGGTGAACCCTGAAGCCCTAGAAGCATCTCATGAACGTTTCGAAGAGCGCCTTGACTGCGTCATCGTGCTGCGTGTCTTGACGAAGGAGGAAATTCAAAAGCTCGCTGACAAGACGCGAGAAATAAGAGGTAAATGACCCCAGTCTTCTTTTGGAATTTGTTCTCTCTCCCTACAAGAATTATGCGGAACCAGTCCAGACCAATCCTGCATGGATGGGGCATCAAGGACTGATCGTGCCCAAAAGGCAGCAAGATCATCAACAATGCACCTTCAACAGGGTCGGAGCGCAAGGCCATCACAGCTAAAGAGTCCCCCGACGGACCTGCAGCTGAAAGCGCAACCACCACAAGCTCAGCGACAGTCACCACACCTCATCCACGATGAGCGCATTGACACCAACGCACAACCAAGCCTAGAAGAGGCGCGCCTGGATCAAGAGCAGTGGGGGGGCTCGAGAGCGTGGCTTTCACAACAAGCGTCACCGCTGCGCGTGAACGTCGAATTAGTTGAGGCAATTTTATAATGTAGTCACTAACGCAATATGCTCAATCAACAGACAAGCGATATGACGAAGATCGAAAAGCAAAACGAAGCACTCGCAATCGCGACCGATCCGAGCGAGACGAGTACGAATATAGCGATAGCGAGGACGAGTTCAAGTCCAGACCACCCAAACTGCTGGAGGCACCTTCAACTGCGGGCGCCAATCAAGCAGATTTTATCCGTGAGAACGAGCGAAGACATGGCGAAAGAGAAGCCATGCCGTACAATATGTCAGGTGGCCTCGGGGCCAGAGATGATCGCAGCAGAGAAGAATCACGATCGAGATATTAAAGGAAGCATCAAGACTGTTCGCTACAGCCACGGCGTTGGGATGAAATTCTGGCATACGAAAGCCGAGCTGACATCCGGTTCTGGCTATGAGGATGAGAAGAGAGAAGAAGGTCATGAGGATTTCGATTCGAGCGAGCAAGACATTCCCATTATCGATACCAATATTTTGTTTCTTTCGATCGTCACCTTTGCTGGTAGACTACTACTTCAATACCAGCTGACCTGTGTCACATGATCGTTGCTTCATGCGGAGCTATCACGCAAACTTTATGCATTCGAGCCCAAGTTTTGCGGCGGACTACATGCAACTAGATGACGCTTACAGTACCGGCCTGTACCTTGCTGCTAGTGTTGCCGCCTTACCAGCAGGCATAGCTCTTGCTGGAGACGAGATCGAAGGATTGCTTTGGAAACATGTGTCCTGGTTTATGTGCAGGAACATGAATGATACTGACGAGACCATGCCATTGAGGAAAATCTGGGTTTGTTGCTGAGATGTCGCCTCATTCGGTGGCCGGCTTTTTGAGGGTTTGAAGCGAAGCCTCACTTATGAAGTCCACTTCTTGGCGAGCGATCACTTCTACTAGCTAGCGACGGAGCCGGACCGGAGCTAGATCCACCTCACCGCTGGTTTATAAGCGAGCATTTCCGTCTTACGGCGTCATCGGGCTGTGATCGGACCTTATGTGCATACTGTAGTTCTGTGCTAACAAGGTGTCTAATAACTGCCAGAATACCGTGGAAGATCTCCTCCCCTTTACTGTACCGTCATCTTCAGAGGTCGTAGATTCCCATCCGTCTACCGGCTTCTCTTGACCTTCTTGCTCTCGGCTGTTGTCCCTTGGCTATCGCGGGAAAGCAGAATGAACGTCAGCATGCAAGACCTTCGGCACAAGAACCGGAACACGCTTCTTCTCTTCTTGCTCTGCTGTTGTTACTCGGCTATCGCAGAAAAGCAGAATCCAGGATGCAAGTCCATCAGCACAAGAACCGGAACACGCTTCTTCTCTTTGTGAAGCAAAATCGATCATCGTTAGAAAAGGGACCAAGGTTTTCAGACGTGAGAATGATGCTATGGAAACAACGTCAGTCACTTGCAATAACAGTATTCTTTCGATTGCATTGCGTATTTATTGCTTGCTTGCAGTATCAGTAATAAGAGAGACCGTGACTGCAAAGCTTTTCAACTTCGAGACTGGCAAGTATAAACGCGCTTGTTCCGATCAAAGCGTTCAATGCCGTTGGCCTGGTGACGTAGTACTATATATGTAAAAGCAACAGGTCAGTCCATCAGTCCTGAATCCAGGGTTCAAGTATTGACTTACGGAATAGTCAACATTACCACTCAGCGTACACACAACGCTTGTGCCGTTGTAGCTCAAAGTGCCGTTGCGATTTTCAATCAAGAAATTTTGCCGAGCAGTCTGGAACATCCCGACGCCAGTGATCTGCGCTCGCAGCTTCAGCTCAAGGTCATCTAGCAAGCCTAATCTGGCTCCTCGCAGGAGGGAGTATGCAGTCATGACTGTAGCACTGGCCTCGATGAAGTTCTTTGTCCCGTTGAAACTGGCTCCGGGATGGTCCACGACTTGCCAGACGCCATAGCTGCCCTCGATCTGTAGGCTACGATCTGAGGCTATGAGTTGGGCGCGAATGATATCTTTGAACAGTTTTCGAAGATGCTTCGACACCGCACTGCTGCTGCTTTGGTGGAGAAGGAACTCAAGGCTGTTGACAAGGCCGAGGGTGTACCATGCCAATGCGCGACCCCAGACGACTGGACTGGCTCCGGTTCCTGGATCAGCCCAAGCATGGTTTTTACTGGCATCGTAACCATGAACCAGAAGGCCATCGTCGCGTTTCGTGATGTTGTGGAGTATTAGGAATTGATCGAGTGCGCCGCTCGCGGAAAGCAGCTCGGCATCAGAGGTTTGGTTCGTTGCTTGGGACAAAACAGCAAAAGGTGCGTAAGAGAACATCCCATCAAGATAGCTCAGATTATGGTATGCCGAGATGTTATTGACATTGTTGTAATACCAGAGGCCACCATTGGCATTTCGGGGCTGGTTCAACACGGAGGTTTGTAGTGCCCCAATCGCCGGGACGTAAGACTCATTCTTGAATTCCTGATACTGTAGGATCATGGAAGTACCGACACTTAGGCGATCAAGGGGAAATTCGATATCTCGGGTCGCATTGGCGAGATTCTCAATGGCACTCGATGTGCTCATATCCAGCAGCTTGGACCACCTTTGCCGCTGAGCTTCGTCGTCGGACCGCGCAATGCTGTTTCGGAGCGCTTGCTGGAAAATTCCCAGCTCAATCATGCCCAGTGCGCCACTTCCAGCTTGAAGGCCTTGATCGCGACCAATGTTGCTTTCTAGCATCTTGAATGCTAGTCCAGTGGTGTTCGGAGGACATTCTAGTCGCTGAGATTGGCAGTTCGCCAGGAGCCAGAATAGCGTGAGGGCGAACAGCATCCCGGCGCCAGAGACGGCCATGGTGAAAGCAAATGTGTGAATCGTGAATGTGTGAATCGTGGAAGTGCGAAGACTGCTGACCGGACTGCAAGGGTTCACCATTGAATTCACAAGGGTCTATGCAGCGGTTGAAACGGTCCCTCGGTTAGCCGAACCTTCGTTCTTTCATTCACATACCACCACTGCAACGGAGCATGAATAATACACTACGGTAAGCTGAATGCCGTCCGTCTCAGCCGAGACCTGACTCCTTGGAACGACGGATCCCTGCAAGTCTCGCGTTCTGATCAACAGTGGGGGCTATTTTCTCTTGGAAAGCACTTCATTGCTCTGAAGGTAGCACATGTGCTCATCTCCCACTGCTCCAACCATACTTGCTACTACCTTCGCCCCTGGCTCTCCTACCTTCCGCCCATTTATCTTCCATCGCATCCTCTTGCGTACGGGCGTTGTTGACAAGTTGTTGCAGACTGTGCTTGCCAGGTGCGATAGCCTTGACAGCTTTATGTTCAACGACCTCTCCAGCTGCTCGGAGCTCCTCATTCTTGCGATATTCGGCATCCAGGTTGAAGTGTGTGACATTAGCACCTTTCCCTTGTCTACCGAATAGCTGCCTTCTTTGAGCCGGCGTGAGATTCAAGTCTGCCGCCACCGCTTCAAGAGAGTTGGGGTCTGCTGGCGTTGAGTATTGTGCTGATGCTGGAAGCTCTGCCTCTTGTGTCGTTGAGGCCGTACTTCGATCGATCGTTATAGGCTCGTACTCCCCAGACGGCGAATCTACCACAGCTACATCGTCTTCTTGAGTCACTGAGAACAATGACTTTTTAGGCTTTGGGTTTGGCGCCTCTTGTTCGTTCGCTACCGGCTGTGATATGACAGGATTTTCTTTGCGCTTGCCATTTGCCCCATTGCTTGTACCTTCCGGCACAGGAGGTTTTGCTATAGGCTTCTTTTTCTTCTTGCCAGAAACACTGAGAGGCAGAAATCTCGTGGCTTTGCCAACTAATTTCGGCTCTTTCGCAGGCTCGGCGTCCTTCTCCGCCGAGCCTTCATTCAATGTTGGCGCTACGTACTCTTCTTGCTCTACCGCTTGTGGTAGTGGATTCCGACTAAAGGCAGCTTCACTGCTGGTCTTCAGGCTGACTCCGGCCTTGGGAGCATTTTGTGCTGTCCGTTTGGGCGCTGGCAATAGCGCATTGAATCCACTGAAAACACCTCGTGTGCGCGCTCTTTTCGACGGTGGCTCGGCTGCCGCATCACCGTTCTGTCGTGGCTCTGCCTTGAGGCTAGGAAGACTGACTTGAATCTTTCCTGGTGCTGCTTTCTGGAAGACTGGCTTCGCTGCTGGTATTGGTGCTGATGGCTTGGCTGATTGGGTGGGCGCACCTTCGCCATCGCTCTCGCTGTCTGAGTAGTCCACGAGCCCCATAGCGATATGCTCGCGCTCGCGCAGTATTGATGTTTATGTGGGCTTGGTTGCAGAACGCTTCTCGAGATTGACGTAGATCGATGTATGCATGACTCGCGCCCAAATGCACCCCACTACTTTCACGCGACTGACAGGCCCCTGCATTTGCTGACGTCCGATGCCGATGTCCAACGTGCACACTGCCTTGCAACTAACATGTGAACGACTGCAGCACCAGCTGGTCTGGTCCGGTCCGGTCGACCCACGGAATATCACATCCCCTAGGACGCGATCATGTCTCTCCTAATGAATGAGGAGTTCTCCATTTACCAGCTACGATTGGGATACCTAAACCAGATTCACGACGGCGTAGGCGAACGACTGATCAATCTGAATCCGGCGGTGCTCAACAATCCAGCATTCCGTACAGCAGGATGGACGCCAGACACGGCTGCTATAAAGCGCTGCTACTCCCCGCCCATCCCAACCGGCACGTCCGCAGAGATCAGCAGCGAGTACTTCAAAAGGCCACGCCGGCCAGCAGGAAGCGCTGTGGACGAGGATGATGGAGCTGAGGGAGGCGGTATGGTCACAGGTCAAGGCAGTGAAGATACTATCGGCGCGTTACACGCGAATGAGCGGAAACGCGAGAAGAGACGGCGGAGAGCACAATTAGAAGACGATGATAGTTCGGACTTAAGCGATGACAGCGATGAAGATGAACTGGCACGAGGTCCAGCGCAGAGCATCAAATTTGCCAAAATGCCAATACGAAATAGAGCAAAGTCCTCACCACCAATGCAGGCTAGCACGCTTAAGACCGCTGCGGACTTCGAGGGAGACGGCCCTTCGTTGATGGTGACTAGTCCCTCACGACCGCCAGACTCCAACCTGACAAGACTACGGAGTGGTAGTATGGGCCAGGTCGAGGCAGTCAAACAAAGGGCGAGAAGGGATACAGCTACAAGCTCAGATATGTCTAGTGACCAGGAAGCACCAGGCAAATTCAAAAGAAAACTGCCGGGGCGGCCTGGGAAAGGCCCTAGCGTGCTGGCACTGGAAGACGACATTGAGGAAGAGCCGAATTCGGACGACGATGAAGACGATGACATTGACTTTGGAGAAGCCTCCGATCTAAGCGATGAGTTCGAAGGCACTGCAGATTCACCATCAATGCTGGGACTTCCCAGAGTCAGTGACGATCTCTCCACTTCACCAATTAGACCGCCTCCAAACATTGTTCCAGCAGTCAGTGCAACCCCCAGTGGGTCGCCTAAGAAGGCTCCCAAGGACACTTTGCCGAGACTCCCGAAGCTGCCTCCTGGTCAGCGACCTCTCAGCATGGCACAACCTGTCTCCATGATCAGCAAAATGCTAAAGGGTGATTCTACTGCCGCAAATGACAAGCCATTCCAGCGCTATGCTGAGTTGACAGGAAAGGAGGAAGCCAACCCATTATGGATCAAGATCTATGCGCCATTCTCGGAGAAGCCCAGCAAGCCTATCGAGGTACCTTTACGAAGGACTAAAGATGAAAGGCCTGTGACCGTGGCCGAACTGATAGGCTTGGCGTTGTGGCGCTATGTCGAAGAAGGCTACAAACCCGATCTCACTCCTGATGAATGCAATATCAATAGATGGACACTTCGCATTGTTGACGACGAAGAGATTGACTACGACTTCCCAGCTCTCGGTCGAACGAGACCTGCCGTTGATTTCACCTCCAACAACAATCGTCCACCACAGCGAAGAATGAGGGATAAGCCGTGGGACGAGTTCGGATTGGTCAAGGCGACGGACGAGCAGTTCAGAGAAAATGAGGAATTGACTCCTCAGATAGGGAACATGGCACCCCCACCAGTGCCAATACCAAAGCCCGATCAGACACCGCTATTCTCTCGGCCAGCACCAATGTCTCGCAACCCGTCTGAAGCACAAACACTCGCACCGGCTGTGCCATCATTCAATCCTGCCCGAAATCCCATCACAGGGTCATCCTTTGCTCCTGGCGCTCTCAGAAAAGAATCATCCGCCCAGCTTATGGATATGCCGCAACGCGAAGCTCGACAAGGCGCTGCGAAGACTGGTGCACCACGAAGCATCACGGTGCATCATGTCAATCCAAGTACGTTCGCATCACGTGTCGAAAAGTACGAGACAACAACGGATAGCTACATCGCAGAAATCTTTGAGCAAGCATGTGCCAAACTCGGTCTCGAAAAGGCACTCTACGTGCTCAAGGTCCATGGCACGCAGACTGTCGCTCCACACGATCGCACTATCGAAGCCTTGAACGACCGTCTCCATCTCGACCTTGTGCCACGTCGCTTCCAAGGGCCTGACGGGATCCTTGGCACAGGTCTTTCAGGATCGCCGGGCAGTACATCACCAAATGCACCACTCGAGCTGACGCCTGCAAATGCAACTCCAGGAAATGTCAAAAAGAAGGGCAAGTTCAACTTGCATCCCCTTGCCGCACAGCAGAAGTCAGAGCTTAACCACGCAACCTCTTTACTTAATCTATCTACCGAAGGCAAGAGATACAATGTTATGCGCAAACAGCCGCTATCCTTCGCTGCCACACATCCGCGGACATTGATCATCACTCCAGAGTACATGACCATTATGCCAGCTGCCCCAGACTCCCTGGCTGCGCCCTCTGGTAAAGTGACGAATGTCCCGATGACATCAATTATCGGAGCCAAAGTCAGTCGGAAGCACGTAAAGATGGTTCGCATTCTGGTCTTCCGGGAGAAGGAAACAAAGCGTTATGACTTCGAGGCTGTCAACCACAAAGAAGCAGAAGAGATCGTCACGGATGTCAGGCGAGGAATGGAAGTCTTTGGACCTGGGGCTTGGACACATGGAGATTAGCAAGCTCCAAAAGGGGGCTCTCGCATAGGAAGAATGAAGTACCTGAGTACAAACAGAAGAGGGAACCGGAGTTGGAGTTGGTAAGACCGGATATACCCAATTTGAGATTTTCGACCTCGCCTGCGAAGCTGCCTAGGTGAGCTTGAGGCTTACATTTCCGACTCACTGGTCATCGGTTCGTGTCCGCTTTCTCATCCTTGTGCCTTTTCCAAGTGTCTCTGGCACTTCAGTTTGAAGAGCGATTTCATACAACATTAGCTGTAGTGACGTCAAGTGACAGGCGAGCCGATGCCTTATCGGGCTAATGCCTTGTTTTTGCGGTGGATTCTCAAACAGTAAAGATTGGTAGAGTAGTAATTACGAGTATAGGATTGTGCGGACAACACTTTACTAATCTAGAAGCTACAACCAGTTAACAACTAACATATTAGTAGACTATACTACTAACTTAAAAGTCTAAACCTATATACTAGTTTTTCTATATTGTAAATTATCTTTCTATTTTTAAAATGCTTATTAGTATACTATATTTTTATTTTAGATTCTAGAAAGATAAATACTACTATTTTCAACTAAATTTATTTCACTATTCTTATTAGTCCTATACTAACACATACTACACTAATAATAAAATAAATTCTATTTTTATAATTGCTAAACTCATATTCACCATTTGAATACCTACCCGCTTGTTTTTGTTTCATTGCTCTCTCCTGCCCATGTCGACAACAACAACACCTCTACCACTTTACTCCCAATTCCGATTCATTACCTCCAGCGGTGATTTCTCGGGAGGTAAGAGACAGATTGCGGCGCGAGCATGCGAAAAATGTCGCAGAAGAAAGAAGAGATGCACCCACGCGTCGCAGGAGCATGGGTTGTCCACGCTGGCCAGTGTTGCAGCCGAAAAGGCCCCAAACGTCGTGAGCTCTGGTAGCGAGCAACATTCACAGCATGCACGAGCATCACTGAGGGACTCCGTCGAGCGTGTCACCCCTGTTACCCACCAATCTGGTGATTCGGAAGTGGCCACAGGCCGGCACGCGAAGCGCATCAGACTGTCGGACTCCCAATTTGCCCCGGAGCGATTTATTGGGGACCTCAATCCAGAGGCAGAGCTTCTTGAGGCTTCGAGCCCAGTAATTGCCAATCGCAGGCCTCTCACAAACCGCATCGGGTTATGGCGACCAGAGGATTCCCCCGAGCGGATGGAATCGGCCACTGGGACCATGTTTGGCCCTGCAAGCATTCTCCATGGATGCTCTTCGGAGGTCAGAAAAAGCCTTTTGCCTGCTTTGGAGCAGCAGACTGTCTGTGTACGGCCAGAGACCGAGCATATGGAAGCGCTGAAGGCATTTTATGTTCAGCACATTCACCCAATCTTACCCTGCATAGATTTGGATCTCTACCACCGTAGCGCTTCGGACAGCTCAGTTCGTATTGCTATGGAACAGGCAATGTGTCTGCTGGCTGCACCAGATCCAGCGATAAGACATCACTTACGCATAGCCGAAAGAACCTACAAGGCTCCCGATTTCATCCAAGCTATACTGAGTGCCTTGAGATTAAGCTTGGAGCTTGCAATTGTGCCAGATATAACGACTGTGATTCGACTCCTGACAGTGATGTCTCTCATGGCGTTCGGTCAACGCAACTTGGAGCTCACATCGGGGTTCTTTTCGAAGGCTGTGCATCTCGGATACACAATCGGAGTTCATCAACCAAGAGATACAGAGCGGGATCAGAAAGTGGCTGACCTCTTTTGTCTGCTCTGGTCAGTTGACAGGATGCATGCTGCTTTCCACGGCCGTCCCATATTGATGCATGAATCCGACATGGCCAAGGATCCGATGCAATGCGCCCAGCACTGCTCACCAGGCTTCCGGACTCTGGTCTTCATTGCGACCCTGCTCAACAGTGTCATATCTCTATACCGACCTAATGTTGAGGTGACTGAAATTTCTGACTCTCACTTTCCGAGTTTCGAAGAGGCCCTCGCTCTTTGCGAGTCGTCTCAGCTTTGCCCGCGTATGATTACGACATTGGAGCTCTTTTACCATGCTGTCGCAACCCTTTCTGTCCGAATCCCATCCCACATCGATTCTCGACATCTTGGCACTCGAAACACGCGCCAAACTGCGTCAGTCTTGCAGATCGTCTCGATGATGGATGTGGACGCAGTCGACAGCGTCACACTTCTACCTATCGTGCCGTACGCCGTATCACTTGCTCTTAGTGCAGCTGTACGTGATATGCGTCATTCTTCAGTGGCGACCAAGCAGGAGCGTGCTCGACAGCAGGTCGACAAATGCTGCAAGATTTTGCGACGTCTTGGTCAAAGCTATTGGTCGGCAAGTTTCACGGCAGAGATGGCTGTGAAGATTCTGCAAAGTGAAGGGCTTTCCGCAAAGTACAACAGCGGAGACGTTACGACAGCAGTGCGTGATGAGGCAGAGGACCTCACGACCGCTCAGTCTCCCCGTATCGATCTACAGGCAGAATGTCTAGACTTTCTCGATTCCAGTTGGCAAATACAAGATCTAGAAGGCATTCTGGAGAGCAACCTCGATCTGAGCATCCCTCCGTTTTTGAGAGACCAGGACTTGTTCTCTTTCAACTCGTAGGCCACTCACTCAAATGCTGTCACGTCCTAGCATTCCTCTGGTCTTTGCGACTCTGGCGAACTTCGCGTGACCTTGCGCACGATGTTATTGAGACCAAGGATTGATACCCTGCAGCTTTCAAGACCAAGATCTGGACCAGAACGACGCGGATACACGACATCTTCAACCAGCGCCGGGCTGAACTCGCCGGGCTGAACTCGCCGGTCGCTTGGATGGTCGGCAACGTACCTGATCGGATCTCACCTTCCTGAAGGAGCGGCGGGTCGGAGTCAGGCCCGTGAAGATCGTCAGCATTGCACAATGCAACCGGGATTAACATACTCGTTAAGATCCATTTCTTCTTCAAGGTGCACTGAAGCTGCAAGGTATGTTAAAGTATCCTCCTCAGTTCGGTGGAATTACAGCACCCTCCAAACATCATCAGCCACGGCGATACGCTTTCAAATGTGGTTTTGCTTGGCTTGACACGCTGAAGTATCGCTTTCACGTATTCAGCCAGCACCTGTGCCTAACCAAACAAATCCGGCGTCATGGACCCTTTCGCTTCAGATCTCGCAACAAACGACCAGCATCGCGCATGAATACGTTTCCCGAGGATGGTAGGTCCTTCTGATGTCGACATCAAGTAGAGCCCCACTGGACACCACAAATGTGCGTGAGATCAATGCACTCTTTGCCCGAAGCATGCCGAAGCCGCGGACAACCGGCTTACCTAGAACTATGTGACCCTCCGACTTTGACAGGGTAAGCAGCATCTTGGCTCGCACAGGCTTCGAACCGGAAGCGAAGCAGAGCGAAGGATTCGGCGACGATAGTCAACGGGTCGCGATGCGCGTCTGTCCTCGTTGCACAGCAGATGTTGAGACAAAAAATGCATCGATGCCGTCGTGGCGCCTTTAGACTTGATGTAAACTGTGATGTATTCAGAAGAGGGCTAATCTACAGGAAGCCTAAAGATGAAGTGCGCAGTTTCAGCCTCAGGCATCATGCACGTGATACTACACACCACACACTTCAAGTCACCCCCTTATCGCGTGCATACAGCCAAACAAACAAACTAGCGAAGCAAACAAAGGGGTATTAGGTATAGAAATAGGTAAACAAACTAGACTACTCTTAGGTTAAACAGACAAAGCAAACAAAGGCCCTTTCCTCTTAGTACTTAGTAGCTAGCTTTGCAGCGCTCTTAATAGCGGCCTTGCAATCTACTAGGTTCAGTTGTTTAACAAAGCGGCCGTACTTAATCTTGTTAAGCGGCTTAGTAAAGCTATCGGCTATCTAATTATATATACTAACCTATTAGACGACAATAGTACTATTAGCAATCTTCTCTCGAATATAGTAAATACGAGCATCTATATGCTTCGTACGGCTATTAATGCTAGTAGACTTAGTAATAGCAATAGCGGACTAATTATCCTCGTAGAGCGTAACTAGAAGAATATAGCCCTTATAGCTAATTTCCTTTAATAAACAAGCTAAGGCAACTGCTTCCTTAGCCCCTATAGTAAGTTAAATATACTTAGCTTTAGTTAATAACAGTATAACGAGTGTCTAGCGGCCGGACTTATATAATAGAGGTCCGCCTATAATAGTAAAGTAGAAGCTGCCTATAGAGCGGCGAGTAACTAGATCGTCGGCCTATAAGGCATTATAGTATCTAGCAAAATTGAGCTTATCGTTCTATGTGCCTTAGAAGCGCATGCTACGACTAAGGGTACTAACTAGGTACTTAATTAGCTAAAGGAGCGCGGTATAATGCTCTTTAGTAAGGTTAGAGATAAATCGTAATAACAAGCCTATAGTATAGCAAGCATTAGGTCGTATAATTATAGCTAGCTATAGTGCCTTACTAATACCTTCTTAATACTAAGTCTTAAAGGCGGCACTAGCTATATAGCCCTTAGGTGCGCGTTAAATAGACGTCTTAATATAGCGAGGTACTATTAGAGTAGCTAGACCGACACGGCTACGCATACTATACTTCTCGTAGAGCCTATTTAAGTAGGCGTCCTAAACGACGTAGATAGTGCGCTTATTACGGTCGCGGATAATGCGCATGCCGAGATAGTAGTAAAGGTCGCCTAGCTCTCGCATATTAAAACGGTCCTTTAGTAACTAAGCTACTGCCTTTAGTACTAATAGAGTATAGGCGATAATAATTATATTATCTACGTAGATAACAATAATAGAGCCGCTAACAACGTGCTTAAATATACAGACGTCGGACATTATTAGAATAAAGTCTAGGCTCTTTAAGTACTTTCGAAGCTCTTTATACTATAGCATTAGTAACTACTTTAGACTATATAGTGCCTTTAGTAATAGGCAAACTATGCCCTTACTACTACGGTCTTTAAAGCTATATAGCTGCTCGACGTAGATCTTATACTTATCCCTAATAAGCGCGTTAAGGAAGGCAGTTAGAATGTCGTATTGCTTAGCCTCTAGGTCGTAATAGGCGATCAAGCTAAACAGTGCTCGCAGTATAGACGGCTTAGCGACAGCTGCATAGGTCTTATTATAGTCCTGTCCTTTAACCTATGTAAAACTACGGACGACCTATCGAGCCTTAAACCGGCTTACCTTGCTATTAGCGTTACGCTTAATAGTAAACACCTATCGGCTACGGACAACCTTACGACCTCTAGGTACTTCTAGTCGAGAAACATATACCTATATATAGTTGTCTATTAATAACTTGTACTTAGCCTTATAGGCCTCCTTCTATTATAGCTAGTACTATAACTCCTTAGCGGCCTTAAAGCTCTTCGGAATAGGAATGGCTTCTTTAGGCTTATTAGACTGCTCCGCAATGTAGTAGGAGGCTATAAAGCCCTTAATATAGGCTATCGGCATATTAGCTAGTTAGCGGCGCGCCTTGCGTTAAACACTAGCATTAGCTAGGTACCTACGCAAGAGGTTACGAGCTAACTTATTGCTCCGGGTCTTGCGCATAGAACGATTACTAACAGCCTTAGCAGGTCGCTTAAACTTAGGCAACTAGCCCGGCTCGCCCTTCTTAGCGTAAGGATCGTATATAGGCTGTTCCTTAGCGGATTAGAAACCATCCTTATTACTTAATAGAGGTTGAACAGCCGGTAGGTTATCCTCGAGCGGCAATAGATTAGCGACTTTATTAGCTACCTCCTAAGCTAGTTCTTCTAGAGTATCTTCCTATTAGGCTAGAAGCTGCTAGACTATACTAGCGGCTTCCTATAGCGACGGTGCCTCGTTACTTATAGAATTAAACAGAGCCGGTATAACCGACTCGAGTATAATAAACTCGTTCTTAGCTAGGTTATTAGGATTGGCGTATAGGTTTATACCCTCTAGAAGCGACAACTTGTCGTCCCCTAACTTAATAAACTGTATATCCTTCGAGGCAACAACCTTATATTCGTTAGACAAGTAGATTATGTATTTGTTAGAGTCTACTAAGTCCTTCGTATAACTAACTAGTTTGCTAAGCTTTCTACGAGCGTCAAACTTCTTGCTACGAGCTACACTATAGTCGTAGATAATAGCAGTATAGCTATAGGCTCGAAGGTGCTAAAGGCGTAGCTACGTTCGAGACTAATTGAGCTCCCTAGCTATAATAGTATAGAGGCTAAGACCTTCTAGGGTTCTAGGTATAATATTAAGGACCTATATAGCGGAGGTAATAGCATATAGCTATAGAGACTTTAGAAGGTTAGCCTGTAGTATTATCTTTCTCGTAGTCGTATATACGATATAATTGCTAACCTTAGCAAGGCTATTCTAAGTTAATAAATAAGGTACAGTAACTTGCAGTATAATGCCCTCGTCTCGAGCCTAATTTAATAGCTAATTTCCGCCGTATTTACTCTCTCTATCGAGGCGGTAGATTAGGATTAAGTAACTAGTTTATATACGGACGTATATACGGTAGTCCTTAATTGCTACTATAGCTCCTAACTTTAGCGAGCTAGCATATTCGTGTCGATAGGCTAATTTAGCGCATGTAAACAACGTAAAGTAGCGTTCTTGTAGTAGACTAGGGTTAGTAATAGTAACTACATCTATATAGACAATGTAGTAAATAGTAGACGGTCGCACTCGTAGTAGTCGGTTATATTCCTTATATAACATTGCTATACGACAAGCGATATAGTTTCGGAAGTCGGTCTTGTTTCTAGTAATAACAATCTAACCCTTAGCTTCTATTCGTAACAGCTTGCGGTAATAGATATAGCTATATCGTAGATGCTACTCTTCTATCGTACCTATTAGCACCCCCTTCTTCGATAGAAGCGTAACAACTTAGCTATCCGGTCTAGAGGTTGGTATATATAGATAGGGGAGACTATTCTTTCGGTATATTTAAGCAATAGTAACCTTAGATCTGTTAACAACAGTAAACAGCACTCGCTTGTTATTCCGATAGAAACAGCCCTTATCGGCAAGCTTCTTAGTAGATAGAAGGTTAGCTACTAGACCTAGAACATATAGTATATTAGACAGCTTTATGCTACTTATACTACGCTTATTAACAACCTTAGTCTAGGCTATACTAACTATCGTAGCGTGCTTCGTATTGCTACTAAACCGGACAGGAATGTAACAGCCTTCGTATTTAATAAGCAATAAAGGGTTATTAACTATATATATGCTAGTACCTAAGTCGACAACCTAATTAGTAGTACGAGTGCTAGCAGTAAGAGCCGTAGAAACCTAGTCGCTAATAGTAACTATAGTGTTTGCAGTAAAGGCGTAATTGTAGCTTAGGTCTAATAACACCCCCGGGGTAGTATTAGCCGCATACAGCCCCTAAGCACTATTCTAACTAGATAGCGGTTGTTGCTATTATTACTATATAGTTAGTCTACGCTGCTGCTATTGCTGCTGCACCCCCTTCTTCTTAGACTTCTACTATTTACGACGTAGTCGGTCTTCCTCCTTTAGATAAGGGTATTTAGTATAGCAGCGGTCGGAAGGGTAAGTGCCTTAACAGTATAAGCACTTCTCGCGATTTTAACTATTCTAGTTGTTTCTACTACGACTACGACTATTGTTACTGTTTCTACGACTACTACGGCCGCTACGGTTCGAGTCGCCTCGACTGTTACTATTACTATTGCTACCTTGCTATTATTAGCGCTAGAGACCGAAGAAACTATTATATTAGGCCTAGTTTAGTTAAGCTACATTCTTATTAAGCAACGCGCTAATAATGTTGTTAAGGGTGTTATCGTTAATAGTATATTTAGAGGCGCGCATCTACTTTCGGCGCATCTATACGAATGCCTCGTAGAATAGTGCGATCTATATAATAAACATATAGACAGCCTAATATTAGCTAATAGCTAACTTAGTGTCCTTTAAGGTACCGAGCTTCTTCTTATATTCGTTATAGAACTTCTTAACGTCCTTGCTATTATACCGAAGGGTAATATATTCCTAGTAGAGCATAAATTTAGTAGACCTACCTTTACTAGTATATTTCTTCTTAAGGAAGTCCTATACCTCCTAGGATATAGATAGACTAAGTAGTAATTATTAAATATTACTAACATAATTAGCAAAGATCTAGGTACGCGCTGTTTGATCTTTAGAGTCCTATTTATCTTAGCGGTCTTTAAACTCTTTAGAAGACTTACTAGAGGCCTTAGAAAGAGGTCGCTAGTAGATGCCTTATATATAGCGCTAAACCGACATACCTTTAAGAGCGCCTTTAGCAGCGTACGACTATAATAGGTAATTCTCCTTATTCTTTAGCTTAGGAATGTTGCTTATATAAGCGCTAGAGGTTGTAGGGAGAGCTATTACGGACAGCGATAGTAATAAGGGGCGGCCGATAGGCGCGCCTATATTATAGTATAGTAGATAGCTAATACTATTATTAGGAACTAGTATAGCGGATAGCTAACACTAATAACTCGAGTCGGACTAGCACCTACTAGAACCCTTAAAAGCGGCGGCGACGATAATAGTATCGGCGCAATTTTTAGTAATAAGCGCTATCTACGTAGCAGTCGGATTAACTATTAGAAAACATATAGAATGCGTTAGAAACGCAGGGGGCTTATAACCACTTGATGTAAACTGTAATGTATTTAGAAGAGGGCTAATCTACAGGAAGCCCAAAGATAAAGTGCGCAGTTTCAGCCTCAGGCATTATGCACGTGATACCACACACCACACACTTCAAGTTTTAGATCGACGCTCATGATACGCCATGTTTCGGTACCTGAGGAGACAGCAACCTTCACCTGTCAGAGTGTGTCTGAATGACACCTTCATGATGTGGTTGGCCATTCAGATGGCGGTCCTGCGGGCGGCCCGTAGACTGATACATGTTGGCTTTGCACGCAATATTATGCCTCACACTCCGTTTTTAATCAGGCCGGGGAAGGAGACTAGATTTGATCCCGAAGCTCGAAACCAGCCAGGGAAAGAGCCGCCTGTCTTCAGCTGCCCCTTAGATCGCTCTCACCACAAGAATGGCGCCTGTCATTCCGCCATTGCCTCGCAGCGACTCGAAGGCGAGGTTGCTCCGAAATTTAGGCCTCGATATCAACAATATCGTTCTTCGACGCATGTACAATCTCATGAAGGTAACAAACTGCCACCAATCGGTCGAATTTGGTCTTGCATGAATCTAATGTGGAGCAGTTAGAAGCAAGTGAGGGCAGACGAAGGATTATTGCTACTCTGGCAGCCCACAACCAACAACGCGAAGTAGTCTCGGTCTATAGCACTTCGCAAGTCGACGAGAGGATCATGGGTGCAGAAGTTCGTCACATCTTTGAAACTGCTCAAGCCGTCACAAAGCCTCTCTATGAGCTTGGTCAGGATCCAGCGCGCCCAGAAACTCCGAATTGGATTATCAGATGGATGTTGTGGCATGTCTTTCGCTGTAATTATGCTCATGGGAGAATTCACTGCCTGTCTGAGCATTTCACTGACACATTACATCTTTGGTCATCAGATCGCGATGGACGACAGAAGATTCGTAGCGACAGTCCGAGCCCTGGCTTGACCATTCAGACCTCCACCGCCAACGAGCTTGAACTGGGTAAGAATCAGGCCACAGAGACTGGTTGTACGCGATTTTGGATTCCGATCTGCTGGCGAAACTGACGCAACGTTGTAGCTGATAATGTGGCGAGCAGCTTTCGACAGTTTTTCGACCCTGTGCGGGAGAGACTCGTTGGACGTCAAGCAACGCCGGAGACAAGATAGACATCTTAAGTCTCCGTTCATTGACTCCGCTGAAGCTTGATTGCCATCATCAGGCTCCGATACCTAGGGCGATTAGGCATCTGGCCAGTTTCATACTGATTTCGATAAACTTGGGAAAGAAGTTCAGCACAAGAAGGCGCTGCCCGACTTTTCGTGCGTCGGATTGAAACGGATCTACATTGCGTTTGAATGTACGACGCTGTTGACTAGCTGTTGCCATGGGTGGCTTCCGATTCTCTGCATCGGACATTGAATTGTGCGAAAGGCTGATGGTCCTTAGACACACTGAGAACAGGGAATCAGGTCCGTGCATACCAACGGCGGAGTATAGAATATTAACCGCGCGCCCTGGATCCTGGAAGGCTGGAAGCTCGGAAAAGTGTACCGCGCTCACCTCTCCTTGGCACGAACTATGCCATTATTATTAACCTGTCTTGCCAGATACCAAACTCTGCAAGGCTGTGGCATTGTTCGGCTGGCCGGCTGCTTGTTGTGCTACGGAGCGATACTACTGATGAGGCAATATGCTTTGGTCGACCGTCGGACTGCACCGAATCGAATAAATCGATTCACAGTCAATGAGTACCTGGTTGGCCTCGGCCGCGCAATATCCCGAATACCCACATTCCTACAATTTTTGCATGCAGTCCATCAAGCACCAGATCAAAAACACTTCAACCGCTTCCTCCATCTGGTATGTTGTCCTTGTGTGATGAACGCTAACTTTTTGCGATTCAACCTTCTCTTCTGGTTCGGCTCCTGCTGCGGAGTGCACGGTTCTATATAGATTCAAGCCTCTCGCTCTTTCAATACACCACGCTCCCTGCAAACACGCAAAGAACAACGCCTTGTACCGCTGACGCCGCCACGAACACCGTCAGAGGCCGCTTGATGTGGAGAAGCTGGGCGTGGAAAGAGCAGGCCCATCCGAGGGCACATTGTCGATAAATCCATCTGACACTGGAGCGAGAAGAATTTAAGGTGCTTCAGACTCACATTTAGCGTGGGAACGCTACCGCATAGATTGATAAGACGCATATGCTAAGAGCGCCACTTTTGCACAAGCACTGAACTTTGCTACTATAGTAGCCCTCCGATAAACGAGATCGATCAATACATCATCGCGATGTGCTACGCTGTTCTTTTGACCTGGTAAATAGTACGCACACTTCCATCATTCCGAATCCTGATGAGAAGTCGCAGGAAGCGATGTGGACACTGGAGAATCATACACGAGTACTGCACCGACGCGGCAGCAAGAACGCCTCCTACCTTTTGCAGCAATGCGCACGCACCAGCCGCTCATGACATCGATGAGGACGACGGCGTTTGTCCAGACCCAAGTCGGCACTCGTCATCAGAAGTGCGAGTCACAACCTGGGATTGGAAGCTTGGTAGGAACTTGCGGACGAATGGGTCAAGCAGTGCCAATGATGTGCTCCAGAATGGCCATCGATGAAGCAAGACACCGCGGCAGGGTGAACGAATTCACTCCGGACGAATCTCGTTGGCAGGACTGACTGTATGCTATCTTCAGGCACGTCTTTTATTCATCAATCCACCACATTCTGTCCGCACGATAGCGGTCCGATGCACAGATGCCCGCCTCAAGCTTTTCCTCGGCCTGCTTTTACCCTCGTCGCTCTACAGGTCCGGTGATGATTGCTTCTTCTTGGGACCGCGTACGGTACGGCAAAGAGGTAATCTTAGAGGCGCAGCAAGAGCTGCCGTTCGAGAACGATATTATGCTCGATACCTTCAAGGCTGTCATCTGGTGACAATGATGGGAGAGGAGAATGGCCATGGCTGCGACGAGCCAGGACGGCAGGCGACGAAGATATACACGACGCCCGCAAGCTTGTGCTGGCGCACGATCAAGTGCAATGACTGCATTCTGAGGGCTCGGGACCTGGAAACGATGCCCACCCGAAGAGGTACAAAATCGCCGCGTCGCTTCAAGCAGCTACAGTACATCAATGGCTGACAAGCATCCCAGATTCTGCCGCCCACCAAGCACGAAAGTCTCACTGTCACCTATGTACAGTATAGCATAGCGGCCGCGGAGATCGGAAGTGGATTCCAGGCGCGCGGAGATCTTTCCGTGAGTACAGCTTTGAGTATTTGAATCTTGAGATGAGATGTGTGCCCAAGATATGTTTCGGATGGGCGAACCTAAATTACACCACGCCCAAGACACGGCCCGGCGTCGAGGAATTGCAAGGGATGTGGTGCAGGTCATGCCCTTGGTTACTTCCCCGAGCCCCAGCTGGCTGCCCGAGCCCCAGTAGATTACAGGATTACGGAATCGGCTGCTCCTTACAAAATCGCGTGTAGAAGCGGATAATCGCGTCGCTGCAGGCCCCGCTAGCCGGGCAACCAAACATGAAGCCAAAGATTGTTAGCAAAACAGTAGTATAGCAAAATTTAAGGTGTTGTTAGTTGCTATCTACTTAGATCTAAGCGGGTTACGACCTACAGCCTTGTAACTACGCGAGGCTATATATACTAGCTTATACTAGTCTCTAGCCTGCTAACTAGCCTGTTACTATATATAATACTGCTACTAAGTAAACTAATAGTGCTATTGCTATAGCACCTAGTTATAGAGTAGCCGTCCTATCGGCTGTGTTAGTAAATACTGCTATTATTAGTACCGTTATTACTATTTAAACTACGCCTGCCGCTATTACTATTCAAACAACGCCTACCGCTATTGCTATTTAAACAACGCTGCCTACTATTAGTTATATTTAATTTGTTGCTAAGTGCGCTATTCCTTACGCGCTCGAAGGTTATTAAGTTCTTGCTATAGAAGGTCTATCTTAGAAGGAGGTTGTAGTTTAACCGGAAGTGCTTCTTAACGTAGATTATAGCACTCGAAGCCTTAAGGGTAGCAGGTAGGTCTATATAGACGGTTAGCCTTCTAGCAAGGGCACTGCTGCGTACGGTACTAGCTCTTTACGCACTTATAGTAGTCTATAATAGTCGTTCTTAGCTAAGTAAGCGATATACTAGGCTCGAGAGTGAAGTTAGTTATTGTCGCTATATTCGTTAGCTTCCGCTTCTTCGTAGTAATAGTGTTTAAGTCGTCTAATTCTCGAGCAGTAAGTATACGCTTTGTTATATAGATAGTCGCTCTACTAGTAAGAGGTTTGCGGTTGCTAAAGATAACCTTCGGCTCGCGTAGACGAGGCTCTTACCTCTTTATAAAGTCGATAAGCTAGTAGTCGTAGAAGTAGCGTAGCAATAGCACTGCTCGTAAGCTACCTATCTTAATAAGCTTTATAATCTCGTGTTTATACGGATAGCCGAAGGTCTTAGTAAGGTAATCGTTATAGCGGTACTACGGACAGCTATATAAGAAGGCGGAGTGCTTAATCTTATTGCTATTATCGTTAGTCGTAGTCCTAAGAAGGGTAACAGCGTATTTGTATAGCTTAGCTACTTCGAGAAGGCAATAGTCGCTAATAACTCGAGAGATACTAGTATAGAAGGCTCTAGTTAGCAACTTGTTACACCTCTTTAGGTTGTCCGCTATAGCGGTACGGCGGCGGTCGTAGCCTTCTTACTACTAATTGAGAAGCGACTCGAAGAGCGTAAAGATATCGTGTCTGCTACTATAGTTAAGCTAGAGCTTAATACGTCTATAGTAAGACTCGACTCGAGAGGTTATCTTGTAGCTAAAATGTAGGACTTAGTTAGTCTAGTAGTTAACAATCCGAGTCTTATAGAACTACTAGTTCTTATAAAGATAGGCCTTAAATATAGGATATACGTTGTCTAGCTTAATAACGTTGTTATTAAACTCTTCCTCGGTCTTACTATAGACAGTATAAGTAAACAGCTTTATAAACTAAGTTGTAGATAGACTGTTAGTCTAACAACCGTTAGATTTAATCTGTATAAAGTCGCCTCGCTCCTTCCTTACTCGAGTAAGTATGTCTTAGTTTAGGTGCTACTCGTAGACGATATTTAAGGCCTCCGGAAACACCTCGTCGACTACTAGCATTAAGGCTTCTTTACGATTAGTCGCTATAACGAGAGGTATAGCATAGCCGGCTTGTTTAAGGCCCTTCCGTATAGATAGTAATAACTCGACGAAGTTAGCTTTATTAGGCTTCGGACGAACAAGACTAATACCGAGCTTAATCGTATCGTTTATCGGTCTAGCGGCTACTATATCTAGCAACTCGAGGTTGTATAGATTAGTCGAATAAGTAGTGTCGAGAATTAGCTAATAAGGCGTCGCTTTAAAGGCCTCGAGCGAGGTTAGATAAAGAGCTACTAATGCCTTAATTAAACCCTCCTCGTCTATCTTAATATTATAGAAGATTAAGTACTAATCGAGTAGGTTAACTATCCGCTAAGCTTGGTTATTAGTACGCCGCTTATAAAGAGTCCTATTCTAGGAGATGTTGTATATATCGTAAGGTTTGAGAATTACTCCGCGCCCTCGAAAGTAGGCTATTATCTTTAACGTTAGTATACGAGCCTATTGTAAGCGCTCTAATTGCTCGAGGAAGTTAGCCGTTCTTAAGCGCTACCGGATAGTAGCAAGCACGATAACGTCGTCCTTCTTATAGTTATACTAGTAGTATTCTTCCTTACTAGAATAGCGAATTTGCTACTTACTATCCGGCTTAAGAGGGCGGACAGCAATAGCGTAGAAATAGAACTTATAGTCTATCTTCTTCGTCTTCTTCCGCGCCTTATTCGTAGTATTCTAGGTACGCTTATCTAGTTAACTATAGCAGCTATATATATACAAATAGCGGTATTTAACGCTATTCTTATTCTTCTTCGGCTTCTACTCCTTAAACTCGTACCTATTCGATACACTAAATTCCTAGATATAGCGCTCGAGGGCTTGTTTAGATAGAAACGTCGACTCTCGCGGCATTAGACCTCGCGGTAGCGAGGGCGCTTCTTCTAGTAGTTTTATAGCAAACGCGTGCTTCTAAGGGCGCGGCGACACTAATCGATATTTAGGTAGAGATATACACTCTCGAGGCAGGTTAAGTAAGCGACTGCGCCCTCGAATACGCGTTTCCGAGACTAATTCGACTTCTTCCTACGACTTAATATCTACTACTACCCCTTCTACCCCTTCTACTACCTCCGCCGCGCCGCCGACATCGTCTTTAGCGAGGAAATCGTCTATATAGGCCTTATACGATAGAGATTAAGCTATTATATTAAGAAAGATAATAGAAACACGTATTCTAATAGAAATAATAGAAATGCGATATTTGGTACGCGTACCCGGGCGCGACTGTTAACAACACTAACTAAGAACAGCTATGTCTGAAAACAGGTGGAAACAGCACGTAATCGACGACAAGGCGATTCCATATTGGTGCTAGGTCTTAATCTACTGGGGCTCGGGCAGCCAGCTGGGGCTCGGGGAAGTAACCAAGGGTCATGCCTCTGGAGCAGGGTGCGAATGATACAGTACCGTTGCAGGTGCGGAGAAAGCGACCTTGCTGACTCGTGCACACGCTGTCGTTCAGGCCGTACGGGGAAACACTTCGAGAGCGGTTCAAATATGCTTCATGAATGCAGCTGCGGTCAGAATGCAGGCCAGGAAGCATTTCCCGAAGCATTGCCTTTTTACAGAATCCTTGGTCACGGGCCGGGATCTTCACATACAGGGCCGCCCGAACTACTACGGTTACACGGCGATGCAGCACGCATGGCATTGGACAAAACACCATGGCCCGCCTATCTCAGGCATCGCTCAGATCGCCCATCGGACCTTCGATCTTGTATCGACTTCGTTCCCAATCGAGACAATTGCCGTGTCACATCATTCGAATGTCCCCGGCTCGTTACAGGTCATGAATGGACGAATGGACGTGGTCCGAAACACCTTCAGCCTCACTGGACTCGCCGACACGGCCCGGAACTTCTCTCTACGCCCGAATCTCAACCGACCACGGACGAGTGTGTTTCTAGCACAGCAGCGCTGACATGTCTCTGCTGCGTGCTACAGGATCAGCTAGGCCGTACTTGTGATGAAGCCTCTTCGTGAGCCGTACGCTGGAGAAGGTCTGCGCTTGCCGTGCATCACACTCGTTCAAGCTTGACGAGAATTTTGTGTGCCGACGAGTCTTGCGATGCAGGACATCACGCCAGATAATCGTTGAAACCATTTGAAGCCCTCATATGACTGGCGACGGTGAGGTACGGATGCTTGTCTGGTAGCGGCTCATCCGCAAGTCTCATACTCCGACAACACCGGATCTCATCGTGCATCACGATGAAAGCAATTGAATCTAGATCCGTCGGAGCTGCGCAACGCGACATGCCAGCACTACTGTTCTTTCTCTGCAATTCTGCTTTGCCTTCACTTACGCGAATTCGCGGGAAACACGCGCTCGCGCTCGCGCTCCTTCTCCAGGTGACCAGCAAGCCAAGCATAGGCAGACGCGCGACTTCTCTCTTTAAAGCGACCCGCTCCACTTCCATTTCAAGCCCGATGACCTCGACATCACGACACCAACAGACATTTGGACGAGTCCAGCGCACACCACCATCGCCACCACCGTCGCCACCACCATCGCCACCACCGTCGCCACCACCGTCGCCACCACCGTCGCCACCACCGTCGCCACCACCGTCGCCAACATGGCCAACTTCTGGCACTTGCCGCGAAGCATTCGCGACAGGATCTACCGACTTCACCTAATCGAAGAGGACAACATCACTCCCGTGAGATACAACCAATTAAGCGTACCTGATGGCTACCCACACAGAGTGCCCGCTCTGCTTCAAGTCTCCAAGAGACTGGACAGAGAGGCCGCGCCCATCTTCTTTGGCGAAAACGTGTTCGATGTACCGAGTACCTACATCGGACAGCTGACCAGCAACATGTGGCCACGCCATGCCCGGCTGATTGCCAGGCTCACCTTCGATTGGAGCCCCAGTGCGACAGACGTGACTCGTAATCTTGGTCCACTTCGTCAGATGAGAGCACTGCAGGAGCTGAATATCAAGGTCGATGAACGCGAAATGGTGAGGAAGTCGGTTTGGAGCCGCGACAAAAAGATTCGGCGGCGATACCCTGGTCTAAGCGGCGAGCAATTAACGCCCCAAGAATGCTTAACGCTCTTACAATATCCTGGTATCACAGCCTTGCTCCGTCTGTCCAACATCTCCGCTGTTACATTCTTGAAGCGAAACTCCGGGAATGGACGCGAAGTAGGCGGCCCACTTCCGGGTGGTGTCCTCCTTACACGTGTGCTGCCGAGCATCACTGCGGCGCCTCCTGTCGAGTCGAAAGTGACGAAGCAAAAGAAGAGCAAAGCCGATAAAGGCATCAAGAGGCCAAAGCAGGCGCACTTCGACTTTCTTGGTCTGCCACCAGAGCTGCGTAACCGGGTCTACGATTTACTACTGCACGTACCTGGACCAGTGCATCCTTCGAAGAAACCTCCGACCTCCGCTCCAAAGAGAATCAGAGATGGCGAGCAGCAAGTTGCACCAACCTCAGCGCTGACCATCTTGGTGGCGTGCAAGCAAATCTACAACGAAGCCGTGGGTATCTTCTACGCAAACACCCCGTTCGTCTTCTACTATCCGACCCAAGTGACTGCATTCATTCTGACCCTTGGTCCCGAACGTCTATCTTCCATCGGAGACGTAACCATCGAGTATGATGCGAACGTTAGCGGAGGGGTTGCTTTTGTTGATCTTGCCTTCCTCGCTCTAAAGAAGCTGCCAAGACTGCGCAGACTGCGGGTCGTCATGCAGGACCAACTCTACCAGAAGATGAAACGATTGCATTGGTCATTGGGTGCTACATGGAATCTTGAGAAAGCCAATCCAGGACTCATGCCGGGTTTTGCTACGCTTTTCGAACTCCGTGGCGTCACCGACATCCTGATTCAAGATCTTGAGCTCGAGGAACAGCACAATAAGATCGTCGACGACAGCGAGTATCCAGATTTTCCGGGCGACCATCGAAGCCAAAGCATCGCTACACTTTACAAGGCGTTCAAGCACTTCAACTCCGCTCTCCAGGATGCGCAGAAAGGCAAAGTGAACAAAGCCCTTCTCGAAGACAACCAGTGGCAGCTGTTGGACGAGTTCCCGGTTCTAGAAGTTATAGAAGAGACTGCGACTGAGGCAGAGGAGATCCAGGAACCTTCGTCCGAGGAGCATGTGCCTGTGGAAGACACTGCACGAGAGGAATTTGCCGAATCAGTGCTGGCAGAGATGCTTCCTGAAGCGCCAGCTCGACTTCGGAGAAGTGCCAGGATTGCGTCAAAGAAGCTGAATGACAGCGAAGTTACCTCACAGGAAGACCTTGAAGACGAAGAAGAGCCAGAGGAGGAAGATGTATCCCAAGCAGGCGTGTTCATTGACAGTGACATTAGCGAGGAGATTGTTGTGGCCCCGTTCCGTACAGTTCGTGGTCGTGCGGCCAGCGAAGAGCTATAAGCGGAAGGGAGTTGAACTTGTTCGCGGTAGCAGCGAGGGAGAGCATTTCGATCGCGCGGTATTGGCTTGCTTCTGAGTAGCCTGCACTTTACACTAGATGCCCATCATCAACTAACGCTCCTGCCAAAACTTCTGCTCCACTCAACTCAAAAACGCAAAAATCCAGAATCCAGAATCCAAACTCCCAACTCCTTCCCTGAAAACTCATTTCAAGACTAAAGGAGCTGTGCCAGAAAAGACTCCTGGTCATGATCCCAACATATCAGGCTGCTCGTCATGAATCACGGGAGGAGAGCTGCTCGTTCTGTTAGTCTTCTTTGCCCGCTCAGCGCTTTCAAGCATCCGTATGCGAGGTAACGAGCGCACAAATCTAGTCGACTGTACGCGGACTTTCACGGCTCGCGAGCTCCCGGCGCCATCATCTCAGCCAAACCTGTTCGCTGGCGCGCCACAATCCATCCTGATGCCTTACTTAGCTAACCTCTCCAGCATCTTCCACCCCTCCAACGCCACCGTCTCCGCAATCCCACCCGTCTCATCTCCTTCTACCCACCATCGACCGCTCTGCAAATTTCCGGCCAGTCGCGCTGCAAAGGCTTGCTTGTGGAAGGGAAATCTGGGGGCTCGGATGCGGACGCGATCTGCTTCTTGGTCTGGTACGAAGCGGAGGACTTTGTACGTACGCAGAAACCATTTGATGAATGGCCAGAGGGGTTTTGCTTGGAGGTTGTGGGTGATCAGGACTAGGTCGTTGTCGATGTAGCGAGGCTGGTTAGAGGGGAGGGGTTGAGGGTTGCGGCGAGAGAGGAGGAGGAGGAGGAGGAGGTGGGGTTTTGGTTTGTCTTGGGTTGAGGTGAGGATGTTTCGCTTTCGTGCAGCGGTTGGCGGGATTGAGGGGTGGGGATTTACCGGAGCGGCTGGAAGGGCAGGCAGCTGCAAGACAAAGTCGAGGGCGTGGAATGGTAGGCCAGGAGAGACATGGATGCTTGTCTCGAAGTTAGACAGATCGGTGACTTTTGTGAACTGCATGTTTGGATGCAGGTAAAGAGACTTTTGCGAGGTGTTCGGCATGACTGTTGAAGGTTGTTGTAGCTCGATGATATGGACGCGGTGGTCGATGAAGGTGCTCTGCAATCGGTTTATCTTTCTTCTCTCGCTTTGATGTGTGTCGAGGAATGGTGAAGCACTCTGGTGGAATAGTGGGACTATTTGAACGTCCCATTTCAACAGCGCACCCTCTGAACAAACTCATTGTGTCCGAGTAACGCGCTCGTGAAGAGATAATGCTTCCACAGGCAGCACAAGAAGCGGCAAAATATCGGAACGAGGGATATTGGGGCTCATTCGCTACTCGAAAGCTCTTTGAGCATTGTCTACACAGCCTCGTGTTCGTTTCAGGGTAGCGGTGAATGTTATTTGAAGAATTTATAATGTATTGATCGATACTGGAGCTGGACTCGCCGTGAGAAGGTTGGTGAAGTGAAGGTCGAGGCCTGTGCTTGGCTGCTCACTTGTGAAATAGTCGCAGTACTCCTCGCAACAGCTGGTGGGCCATGAGCTGAGGCGGAGGAACTCTTGGGCCGACATAGCCCTTGATCGGTGGCTCCCACATGGCATTTGCGCCCTCATTTAGGGCATGTTCGATCTCAGCCAGTTCGAACCATTTTGCCTCTTCAAGCTCGCTTTCGGGATACGTGATGTCTTCTCCGCCGGGAACGCATTGCCCCATTGCACCAATGAGCAGAGTACTGGGATATGGCCAAGGCTGCGATGAATGGATCTGAACGCGATCGATTCGGACTCCAGTCTCTTCGAAAGCCTCTCGGCGCGTGGCCACTTCTAGAGACTCGCCTGGTTCGACAAAGCCCGAAAGTGCGGAAAAGTAGTTCTCAGGCCATCTTTTTCCACGCCCAAGGAGAATACGCTTTGCATCAGCTGAAATGGGAGCAATGACGACGGTGGGATCTGTGCGGGCAAACGCTTGATTGTGTAGTCCAGTTCTGGTGGGACAGTTCTTGCGCTTGACTCCGGCATCTACCGGAGGGCAGACTACTTTGGCACCTCCATGAGTCGATAGGGTCCGACCGCCGCAGGCACTGCAGAATCGATTGCGAGCATTCCAGTCCAGTACGGATCGTGCATGACTGAGTATCGCGGAGTCATTATGTGAAAGCTGAAGATCTACTCTGGTAGGAGTGTGCTTCTGGCCCTTCTCCGCCAACTTGGTCTTCAAACCATCGTAGTGAGAAGAGCTCACGTCTAAAGCAAAGTACGGAACTCCTCGATAGGCTCCAAGCTGTACAGTCGGGCTAGTACCTGCGTCTTCTAGATCTAGGCCGAGGAAGACCAGCGTCGGATGGTGTTCAGACGGGTCGAAGTCTTGGATTTGAGTCTTTTCGTCTTTCGAGTAGGGTCGCCCGATGTAATCCTGAAGATCATGATGGGTCAGGTAGTTGAAGCTGCCATTCTCGTGCCTCAATGCGTTCAAGTCCTGGAAGGTAAGGTATTTTGCAGTTGGATGCGTAGAGGCTTTGTCCAGCAGATCGTTCTGGATGCGCAAGAAGGCCAATCTGTCGACGTTTCCATTTGAGAAGTAGGCATTGTTGCCATGGCCAAAGATCTCTGTCAGAGTCAACGGTGCCATGGTTACCAAGTTCACCTACGAGAATCAACCTTGGAGGTGAGGGAGGAGCGCAGGCGGAGAAGAGATGAAGAAGCATCGTCGCTTCCGAGGCCCCGCCTGCACTCGTTTACGATTGGGTGATTATTCTACTGCTGGATGTCAAGTGCTCAATGGACATGTGTAAGGAATGACAACGGATTGAAGACGACTGCCATAGACTGACCTACATGTACTCTCCTGATCTTGTGAACATTCCTGCTGTCAAGCAGAAGTGCTGAACATGCCTTGATGGACAGGAAAAAGTATAGAACTATACCGTAATCTAACCGGAGCTTGGACCCTAGAATACTGTGTAACCCTTCCAACTTGTCAGTGCCGGTGCGGGGAGAACCCTGCACCTCCGAGAGAGGAACCACACCGCCATTTTGGTGGTTTTTGAATTATTTGTTCTCCCTCTAATGCCTCTAGTCCTCTAATATATCGTAGATATCGTGTCGACGGTTTTCTAGTAGTATAGACCCTTCTAAGATATTACTAATCGTTGTTGCCGCTATAGTTAAGAAGGCACGTATTAATCTCGACTAGTAAGGCTAATTAGTTAATCTCTTTAGCAAAGGCACAACTCCTAAGCAGGTCCTAGCATTCTCGAAGTTGCTATTGTCCGTACGGACAGTCTATCGTTATTAAGCTAAGTAGCGACTATTTAGCGAGTTATATATGCCTTAAACTAGCACTTCTCGTAACGCATACTATACGATAATGCTAGCTAAAGAAATAGACTTCCTGCGTAGCTTTCTTATAGACCGTCCGGACGCATACTTCTTAGAAATAATCCAAGCTCTTTAAGACGAGTTTGTACGATTAAGGCCTATCTCGGAGAGTAGCGATAGTATAGTAATTAAGCCGCGGTTGCTAACGAGGGTATTAAAGAAGAAGCTAGGTTTAACTCGCAAAGAGGTAAGGCGCGAAGCGAAGGAACGCAACCCGTTCTTAAGGGCTTTATAGACGATTAGGTGCGCAAAATAGCCGGTAGATCGATTAGTATTTATCGACGAGACTACTAGTAATTAGAAGACTAGTTAGCGTAAGTATAGATAGTCTCCGAAGGGGTTAAACTGTATAGATATATAGTATGCGAAGCGAGAAGTTAGATAGTTAGTGTTGCCGGCCTTTACGCTATACGGCTACTTGCTTTATACTCGTGTTTACTAAGGATTAATTAATAGTAATCGTTTCTACCTCTAGCTAACTAAACAAGTCTTGCCTTGCCTTAAGGATAGTCCGCCGATAATCTTTGTTATAGATAATGCTAGTATCTACTATAGAGCGAGGGTTAAATAGGCGATACTAGATGCCGGCTATTACCTCGAATTTCTACCGCTATATTCGTCGGATCTAAACCCGATCGAGGGCAGGCCGCAGCTTTAATCTGCTAAAGAAGGTTATTAAAAATTACAGAGATAAGCTGCCGAAGTTTATAGGCTTTTAGGATTACTTGCTATAGTATTTGTATAAGTATAGGGGTAATAGGGCGCGTAGATTGTTCGCTTATACTAAATATAATATCGATAGAGTCGATATTCCGTACGATCTAGCCGAATTCGAATATACCGCTAGAGCGGCTTAGAACATAATAGCGCTCGATCCGGAAGAGTCCTAATAGATAGAATAGGCTTAGAATACCTTACCGTCGATAATTAACGACTCGTCGATAGTATATTGTAATAGTAAGGGCGTGTTTAAGGAAGACAACGAGGAAGATAGCGAACAAGAGATAGACTTCGAAGATTTCGAGTAATGTAACTAATCGTACTAGCGCGCGGCAAGCGCCGCTCGGAGAGATTCAAATAAATGTATTCGAACGCTAGCTTTGCCTGTCGCGCTTAGTGTTCTACAGCTAACGCATTATATTAATTAATTATATATAGGCTAAAATAAGTGCTATTACCGTAAGAATCTCCCGCTTATTATAAGTTTATATATATTATAGATATATAGCGATTGCAGCCTAAACAAAGCTAAGAATTCTTAGAAATTCTCTCCCTCCTTAGTAGCGGCTGCTTCCGCTACTATAATCTTATCCTGTTTCTTCCTTATAAACTCGACGATAGCTTTCTTTAACCTTAACCTTATTCTATCTACTATATTAAGTGCCGCCGGCTAGTCGTCCTTTATTAAATTATAGATAGTCTCTAGCGTCTATCCGGAAGATACGAAATAAGCGATATACGGGCGTAATTCGTCGCAATCCTAAAATCCGCGCTATAAGCCGACCTACTAGAAGAATTCGATAGTTAGCTTCGAGGACTATATAATATTGCGAGGCATCGCCGGAGGGTTACGCAAACTAGTTCTAGTAAGAGCGCGAGTAGGTATTTTGTACAGAGTGCTAGGAATTGTGCTAGATCTACGCAGCTTGCTATCTAAGAAGTGCCTTATCTCGTCGCCGAAGGAATTAAGGATAATAGGTTAAGAGCCGATACTAATAGCTAGTTTACGAGGCGAGTCGCTCTTACTGCTACGCCGAGCCCTTATCTTCTTAACCTCGCCTTTCTAGAACTGCAACTTAATCTTCCTCTTAATTACTATTACCTCGATCCTTACTAGCATCCTATTGTCTAGCTTATTAGTTACCTCGTTACGCTTCTACTCGCTGGAAGAGATAGCTTTACAAGCCTCAATTGTAGCGGCTTCGTAAAATAGAAAGTAGTTCTTACTACAGTCCTTTAAGGCCTTATCGCGGAAGCAGGCATACTTACTAGCCTTATAATAATTTAGATAGTCTTTACAACTATATAAGAAGTCTCTAATAATATAATAGTCCTACCGCTTCTAAGCCTCTAATTTAGCTATTATAACGCCGGCGTTAGCAAGCTAAATTAAGGTTAGATTAAAAGCTAGTTTAACTAACTTCTTAGCGCCTAAAGGCATAGCTACTACTATCGCTTTAGGCTTCGACAAGAAGTCGATATTAATAAAGACATTCTTCTACGAGGTAAGCGCTAATTCCTTGCTAGTCTCTATCGCTTCGCTATAGACCTTATCGCTATTAATATTATCTCTAGCTTAATACTAATCGCTAGTAAAAGCCGTCTTCTAACCGTCCGCTCTAGTACAAATAATAATACGATTAATTGCCGCTAAGCCGTTTAACTTCGCTATCTTCGCTACCTACGAATATACGTTCTAAGCCTCTTATTTGTTCGCCGATAAGAACTTTACTAGCTTCGTTGCTATCGTCCGTACTACGCCTTTCTTCGTTATATTAAACAGCGTCTACTATCCTTTATAATAGAAGGTCTCGTCCGAGAAAGAGCTAGGTTAAGTAATAGGAACGTTGCCTATAGCGAGAGCGGCTTAGCTGCTAGTAGTAGTAGCCGCCTTCTACGTAGTATTAAAAGAGAAGAATATAGAGGTCGAAGCGGAGGAAGAACTAGCCGATTTTAGTAGTTCTATACTGCTAGTCTCCTCTGCCGGCGCCGCTACGGTCTCCTTGCTTAGTAGATTAACGATTAGGTCGGCAGTCGCTTTGCTCTTCTTGCCGGCGGAAGACCTACTCTTCGACTTCGAGCTACCCTTTGCCTACTAAGCTATATTAGTATTCCTTCTTATTAGCGGCGGACTAATAGTCTTCTCGAGAGTGCGGATTACCTTCTTCTTTAGCGTAGAGTTATTTATCTCGTCGTCTAATCGCACTAGCGGCTTACTAGTAGTCGTACGTATCTCTCTTAGCGGCATTATTATAGTATAGTACTCGGAAATAGTTAGAATACGCGTACGGGGCTCGAACACACGATTATCCTCTATTCGACGACGACAGTTAGGAAGAAACACGATAAAAACCACGTAAAAGTGCCCCTATTGCCTACCCCTGTACGGCTCAAGAGAGGAGGCGGCTCTGCGGACCGTACTGACAAGTTGGAAGGGTTCCACAGTACCACATCTTTTGGCGCACAGACATACATGGCATTGAATGTCTTCCAAGTGCACAACTCTTGACGTGATAGAATTGGGCTCTAGTTTCTGGAGATACAGTAAGGAGTATAATCTTGTATTCTGGCCCACCACTTCTCCTGATCAGGCCTGATCCAGCGATAGAATACTGCAGCAGTGAATGGAGAACATCAGGCGAGCTCCATGCTCTCCACTGCACCATCGTCCTCCAAGACACCAACACCTTTCTTCGCCGCGGCCGGCCGAAGGATCGCCTCCATGTACCAGTAACATCACACGCACGACATGTGCAGAGCCCTACAGACGGGACCTTGCCCCCACGTACCATTCAGCACGGCGAAGTAGGATCGCACTATCTGGTCTACAGCTTCGGTATCTGCATAGCCATTCCTATGCACCAATGTCGGCCGCATGATTGGATTCTCTGGAAAGCCAACGGCCACGCGGTGGACAAGCTTCCTCGAGCTCCTCTTCCCGCGCTGATCTCTAGGCACGCGATCGCGCACGCTACGAAATTTCTACCAAACTTCCCTCGTTATTCTCCTTCGTCCCCTCCCTCAAGATATATCTGCCAGCGCACTGGCGTCCGAACCACTACTCGGCTCCTCGAGTAAACACAGTATCGAGCTAGACGCCATGGCAGACTACAGCGATGACAAGACCACTGGCAAGGTCGCGCCAACCTACGATGCCTCACCAGAAGAACGACACAGCGATGAAGTATCAGTTGGGAAAGGCGATCTGCTCGCCTTGGAAGATGTGGACCCAGTCCTGAACGCAAAGATGCATTTGGTCAACAACGCCATTGATCAAATCGGAATGACACCATATCAATGGAAGCTTTTTGTGCTAAATGGCTTTGGATACGCAGTCGACTCGCTCATTCTGCTCATTCAATCCATCATTGCAGAAAATGCTGCCTACGAATTTCGACCATCCTTCACCAACGGAATGACAATTGCTGCGTATGTGGGTATGCTGGTCGGAGCACTGTTCTGGGGTTTGAGCGCAGATGTCATCGGACGCAAGTATGCATTCAACATCTCGCTACTCTTATCCTCCGTCTTCTGTATTGTTGCAGGAGCCAGTCCGAACTGGATCGTGCTTGGTCTGTTCGTTTCCCTTGCAGCTTTTGGCTCAGGCGGAAACCTGGTTCTGGATACAGCAGTGTTTCTCGAGTACTTGCCCTCAAAACATCAATGGCTGCTGACACTTATGGCCGCTTGGTGGGGTGTCGGCCAGCTAATCGCTGGACTTTTCGCTTGGGCATTCATGCCAAACTTCTCTTGCCCAGGATATCCTGCAGATACTGGCATTCCTTGCAATTGGAAGACAAACGCAGGATGGCGTTATATGTGGTTTACAAATGGCGCGCTGGTCCTGGTGATGAGTCTTGCTCGTGTCACGATCATTCGGCTGCGTGAGACACCAAAGTTCTTGGTGGGTGAAGGCAGAGATGCCGAAGTCGTGGAGACCCTTCAATTCATCGCGAAGAAGTACAATCGACCTTGCGATTTGACGAGGGAGCGCATGGAGGCATGTGGTGTTGTTACTGGAGGACAAAGACGAGGCTCTGTATCAGCACACGCCTCAAAGCGATTTGCCTTTGCTGAAGTTGGCATGCATCTGAAGGGTTTATTTGCTACGAGGAAGCTCGGGCTCAGCACAGTGCTTATCTGGTGGTCTTGGCTGCTCATTGGTAAGGCATACAGCGCGCGACCAGAGGAGCAATGTCACTCACAAAATTCGCAGGTCTTGCCTACCCACTCTACAACGTTTTTCTGCCGACTTATTTGAAGACACGTGGTGCCGCCTTGGGTGGTCTGCCTGACAGTATTCGATGGCGGAACTACGCAATCGCCAATCTGTGCTCAATTCCGTCCCCAATCTTGGCCGGTTATATGTGTCGTTCCAGATTCTTCTGGGGACGCCGAGGAACCATGGTAAGCTGATCGATCGGTCCGGCTGCGTCTGCCCATTACTAAATGTCTCCAGATCGTCGGTGCATTGGTCACGATGGCCTTCTTCTTCGCTTATACGCAGGTCAAGTCCAATGCAGAGAATCTGGGCTTCACGTGCGCCATCAGCTTTTGCCTAGTAAGTGCATCCGATTTCCTTACGACCACCTTCTTTACACTCCAGATACGATCCACATATATGGCAAAGGAACATTTCTCGACAAGACTGTGGCTCTCAAAGTGTCTTCCAAATGTCTGGGTTGCGGGCCTTCGCTGTGCTGGTTCACCTCAGCACTCCAACTTGGTACTGGCTATGCGTAATCTGGACCAATCGCCCAGTCGTGCCTTGTCTGGCCGGTGGGCCTATCACCGCACGAATCATCATGCATCGTGCCCATAACACCTGGACCAGCCTTAAATATGGAAGTGCCGCATCCACGAGCATTGCCCATTTGATTGCCTTGTTTAGGTGGTGAGCCTAGCACCAAATGCTTTCACGCCAGTATGCAGCAGGATGCAGCCTACATGTCTCTGTTTTGATAGCCGACTTTCCAGAAGTTGTAGTGCGATACTGCCTGGCAGAACGTCAAGCAGGCTCATTCACCTAGGCTTAGCAGAGACCGTCATACGACCGTTGCTTGGAGGATTCTGAGGCTGGACCTCCCAGCCCAAATGTATAAATTCAACACCTCTGACTCCTTGACACCGGGGAACTTCAGCAGTCTGGAAACACCGGTGCGATGAAAATTTGAGCAACTTGATCGTCCAAACTCGAGCATCCCATCTTGCTCATTTACTTACGATTTGGCTTGTAGAATATTTATTACGGCACACTCTATGCGTACACTCCAGAAGTATTGCCATCAGCGCATCGTGGGTAAGAGTGTTGGATTCAAGGCATGTACCATGTCTGAGACAATTGCTAACCTTGTACCCTTCGGTTTTTGTAGTACGGGCAATGGTATATCCATTGGCTTCAATCGGATCATGGGCATTATGTCTGCTGTTATCGCCTAGTAAGCTCCCAGGCAGCGCTGTCTTCACACTTATCTTTCACTGACAATTTAAAGCTACGCCGACACATCGACTCCGGTCCCAATATACCTCTGCGCGGCACTTTATATTGTCATGGCCATCACTGCCGCTATATTCCCATTTGAGCCGATGGGCAATCGCAGCTCTTAGACACCAGTTACGCAAGCTCTGGACGAAGATCATGAAAGCTAGGGCTGTGTAAGAAACGTGCGCCGAGTATCTAACGACAGACGAAGACCCAAAAATCACTCGCCCTTCCAGCAATCTATTTCTTCCCATCCTCCAAATAACTAACCTCACACCCCTCCAACTTATCCTCAGCCCTCCAGTCCTCCAAAATCTTAAGAAACGCCGGCGCACCAGCTCCATAAGTCGCATTCCTCAGCCCCGTTTTACTCGGACTTCCCTCATTATTATAATACCCCGGCGTACACTCCACCAAAAATTTGACCCTTAAAACCGCCATCTCCTCAATCGTCTTAATCCATTCTGCCTCAGCCTTCTCACTCGCCTCCAACGTCCGGATCCCCCGATGAAAAATCTGCTGAATCACATACGCCAAATGCCGTGCTTGTTCGCCAGTCACATGCAAAAAATTCGGCGCCAAAGCCGCCTGTACGATCTGGACCCAGAAACAATTCGGGAATCCATACGTCGTCCAACCGTGTAAAGTTCGAGTCCCTTCGCGCCAACATTCCGTAATGGACTGGCCGTTGCGTCCGTAGATTTCCATGTTGGAACGATGGGACCAGTCCGTCGCGAGCTCGAAACCTGTAGCGTAGATTATGCAGTCGAGTTCGAATTCTTGGCCGTTGGCGACGATGCCTTTTTCTGTGATTTCGGAGATTCCCGCGCCGTGGGTGTCGATCAGGTGCACGTTTTCTTGGTTGAAGGCTTGCAGGTATTCGTCGTGGAAACAGGGGCGTTTGCAGAGTTGATTGTACCAGGGTTTCAAGGCGTCGGCGGTTTCTTTGTTCTTGGTGATGACGGCGTCGGTGCGGGCGCGGACTTCGTTCATTTTTTCGAAGTCGGCCATTTGGCGTTCTGCTGCGGCTGCTTCGGGGTCGTCGGCGTTGGCGGCTCCGCGGGCGAGGAGTTTGTGGAGGATGTCGGTCCAGCCGTCGTTGACGTGGTCGGTTTCGAGTACGCCGCCGTTGACGATGATGTTGAAGTTCTCCATTCGTTCTTTTTGCCAGCCTGGCTTCAGAGATTGTGCCCAAGCTGGGTCTGTGGGACGGTTCCCTCGCACGTCGACGGAGGATGGAGTGCGTTGGAAGACGAAGGTTTCTTTGGCGTACTTTGCCACATTAGGCACGATCTGGACTGCAGTCGCACCTGTTCCGATGACGCCGACACGCTTATCGCTGAGACCTGTCAAGTCCCCACGATTGTGTCCCTTTGTGTAGTTATAGTCCCACCGACTGGAGTGGAAGCTCTTTCCCTTGAACTTATCGATGCCTTTGACTCCTGGAAGCTTGGGTCGATGCAATGGTCCGGCGGCAGGGATGATGAAACGGCTCTTGATGTCGTCGTTGCGATCTGTCTTGATAGTCCAGAGACTTGATGCTTCGTCCCATCGCATCTCGTGCACTTCAGTCTGAAATAGTGTCCGCTCATACAAGCCGTATCGTTTGCCGATCCTTTCTGAATGGGCAAGCAGCTCGCTAGCATATGCGTATTTCTCGGTCGGCATATAGCCCAATTCCTCGAGAAGTGGCATGTAGATGTACGATTCTATATCGCATTGTGCGCCAGGGTAACGATTCCAATACCTGAAAAGTTTGGGGAATCAGTGTCGATATTTTGTGTAGTCAAGGAAGAATACATCATCGGTTGGCGAGAATGTCTGGACATGTGACCCCACGACTCGGACATTTTCGCAGCATACCACTAAAGTGATCTGCTGCATCCGAGACACTGGAGGTCATGATGCTGAAAGACAACCTCGCCAACTTCGACATGCACTTCCTAAATTTACTCACCAAGTGCCACCAAAGTCACCTGCTTTTTCGAGCAAACGAATGTTCTTGACACCAGCTTCTATCAGCCGGACAGCGACCAGTTGTGCGCCATAACCGCCGCCAACGATCACTACATCGTCTACCTCCGACACGGGCTCTCTTTGAAATGGCTCACACCATGGGTCCTTAAGATAGTGTGCGAATTGGCCTTCCTCGTCGATGAGCTGATACTGATCGATACCTGATAACGATTGCTTCAGTCGTCTATCTCGCTCCTCGATATATTTCTCCTTTAGGGCCACAGGGTCGAATGATGTTGGAGATTGAGGTGCTTTCTCGAAGTCTGCCTGGAGATCCACCTGTTCTGGCTGTGGTCCCAAAAGATCGCCTTTCCGGAGTACATCCACGGTAGCCATCCTGAATGCGGTAGGAGATTGTTCAAAGTTTGGATATTATCAATCCTCACGTTGACTCAGTCGTATCCAGTCCTGTTGCCGCTGTCTTCTGTTGTCACAATAAATGCAAAGCTTGCATTCGCTCTGGGTCTTGACGGCTGCTTGAAATGAAACTGGTATTTAGTAGTTGATGTTGGGGGCCCGTGTTTCTGTATTTGCGACTTGGTCGTAGCTGTCGTGTCAGCGTCACATATATATGATTGAAAAGGGTGCAGCCGAGGAAGCTATTGCGATTCGGCAGTGTGTACACCGTGGTTCGCGGCCTGCAGCATGCCCCCACTTTGCTGTCAGAACTCATTATGAACGAGTCAACCTGGAAGCCTTGACTATTCTTTCTCTGCGCCCGCCGCCCGAATCAAAGGTCCAGCGCAAGACCAATCAGATGTGGTAAGCAGAGCGCCGGTGTCTGAATCCTACCGGCATCGTAACTTCCACGTGGGCCGACAACCTGCATACCGTACGCGCACCAGTGATGGAGTCCACCAACCTGTGGATGGTGTACACGCTCTGTGATACGCTGTGTACACGACCCTTTCAGGCGAGCTCGTTGTGTCCACACAAGGCGGAGCTATCGGATGGTGACGGATACGCTGGTGTGATGATATCCTACCTACAGGCTACAACCCGCCAAGCTGCTTAGTATTGCTCGGATATCCTGGTATTCGGGCATGGCCGATGTGTATACACCCAGTGTATTATGCAGTGTACATAGTCCGGATCTTGAGGAGGCTGTAAACCCACATCCCCGTCGCGCACATAGCCGCCCCGGGTCATGGGGAGTTGGGTTAACGTCATGAACAGCATGGAGCAGCATGCATGTCGCATGTCGCTTGTCAAATGTCGCGACTCGTGCTGTGAGAGGACCGTACGGGCTTAATTCCGCGAGATGTGAATCTGCATAAATTGCTTTCCTCGGGTCAGCAACCTGCATGCATTTCACGGCGCTGACATGGTGATCCTGACTTGAGGATATACAATTCATCTTGCGAGGAAAAACCGCTTCGGCCAAGACAGCCAACTCTCCTCGGGTTCCGGATAATAGCACCCATATGAAATATGAAAGTTGCGCGTGCCCGTCGCGTCGTCTGTGCCAATAGGTAGTGAATGGATGGAGGTCCTCGTTTCTGTGAAGTTTGTAGTTACAGTGCGAAGGTAGTGTAGAACCAGAACCATGCACCGCCACAGATGCTACGCCACAGTTCATGCCTCAGGCCTCCAGAATTGGCCAAACGACGTCGTCGACTTCAAAGGCGACAGCTTTAGGCTTTGAGAGGCGGGAAACATCCACCACCCCACCCCCTCTACCCCCATCACCATCACATATTACCGCGCCGTCGACCTCTTCTCCGGGACAAGAGAGGCTCGGCAAAGATGGCGCCCAACAGCGAGAGCTTGTTCCGGTCGCAGGACATGACCCTGACCCAGCTCTATGTCGCCAACGAGATCGGGCGGGAGGTCGTGTCCGCGCTGGGCGAGCTTGGTGCCATGCAGTTTAGAGATGTATGCATCGTCAATCGCCTGTCATGAGTATCCGAGAGCTCGAAAGACTGATCATGCCTAGCTCAACCCCGAAACGACCGCCTTCCAGCGCACTTTCACCCAGGAGATCCGCCGGCTGGACAATGTTGAACGACAGCTCAACTACTTCCGCTCGCAGATCGAAAGAAACAGCATCGACATGCGCTCCATCTACGAATTCAGTGACGCCATCGCTGCCCCCTCTGCCTCCGAGATTGACGAGCTTGCCGACCGCAGCCAGCAGCTGGAGCAGCGCATTCAGAGCTTGAATGAGAGCTACGAGACGTTGAAGAAGCGCGAGGTGGAGCTCACCGAGTGGCGCTGGGTACTACGAGAGGCTGGCGGCTTCTTCGACCGTGCTCGCGGACAGACAGAGGAGATCAGGCAGTCTATCGACTCTTCTGATGATGCACCCCTGTTGCGCGATGTCGAGAATGCGAACGGATCTGCCGAGGGCGGCCAGCAGAGCTTCAGTGTCATGAACATCGGGTTTGTCGCAGGTGTCATCCCTCGCGAGCGAATGGGCGCATTTGAGCGTATTCTCTGGCGTACGCTCCGTGGCAACCTCTACATGAACCAGTCTGAGATCCCAGACGCCATCCTTGACCCGGAGAAGAATGAAGAGCAACACAAGAATGTTTTCGTCATATTTGCGCACGGAAAGGAGATTATTGCAAAGATTCGGAAGATCTCTGAAAGTTTGGGTGCCGACATCTACAATGTTGATGAAAACAGCGAGCTGCGCCGTGATCAGATTCACGAGGTCAACAGCCGTCTTCAGGACTTGTCCAACGTGCTCGGCAACACCAAGCGCACTCTCGACGCCGAGCTGACTCAGATTGGACGTTCTTTGGCCGCATGGATGATCGTCATCAAGAAGGAAAAGAGCGTCTACCAGACCTTGAATCGCTTCTCCTATGATCCAGCACGCAAGACTCTCGTTGCTGAGGCTTGGTGCCCTACCAACTCTTTGGGCCTGATCAAGTCAACGCTACAGGATGTCAACGAGCGCGCCGGCCTATCGGTGCCAACCATCGTCAACCAGATCAAGACTTCGAAGACGCCTCCTACTTACAACAAGACCAACAAATTCACCCTCGGATTCCAGACTATCATTGATGCCTACGGTACCGCAAAGTACACCGAAGTCAACCCCGGTCTGCCGACAATCGTTACCTTTCCTTTCCTGTTCGCCGTCATGTTTGGTGACTTTGGTCACGGTGCAATCATGACTCTTGCCGCCGTTGCCATGATCATCTTCGAAAAGCCACTCCAGCGAGGTAAACAGGATGAACTGTTCGGCATGGCTTTCTACGGAAGGTACATCATGCTGATGATGGGTATCTTCTCCATGTACACTGGCCTGATCTACTGCGATGTTTTCTCCAAGGAGATTCCGCTGTTTAGCAGTATGTGGGAATGGGAGTTTCCCGACAACTACACCCCCGATAAGACCACTATCACCGCCAACCGCATCGAGGGCTACACATATCCATTCGGTCTGGACTGGAGATGGCACGACACCGAGAACGACCTTCTCTTCAGCAACAGCTACAAAATGAAGCTCTCCATCATCATGGGTTGGGCACACATGACCTACTCGCTCTGCCTCTCCTATGTGAACGCTCGCCATTTCAAGTCCAACATTGACATCTGGGGCAACTTCATTCCGGGCATGATATTCTTCCAAGGAATTTTTGGTTACCTCGTGCTGACTATTGTCTGGAAGTGGTGTGTCGACTGGTACGCCATTGGCGAGCAGCCACCGAATTTGCTGAACATGTTGATCTACATGTTCTTATCGCCTGGAACCGTTGAGGAACGACTCTACTCCGGCCAAGGCGGTGTCCAAGTCGTTCTGGTCTTACTCGCCGTCATCCAAGTTCCGATCATGCTCTTCCTCAAGCCATTCTACCTTCGCTGGGAGCACAACCGCGCACGCGCTAAGGGTTATCGAGGCATCGGTGAGACCACTGCTGTCAGCGCGTTGGATGATGATGACCACAATGCACGCACAAACGGAGACGCCGGACGTCCAAGCTTCGCCGAGTCGGACATCGATGGCGCTGTCATCACTCAAGACATTGGTGGCGATGAGCATGAAGAATTCGAGTTCGGTGAGATTATGATCCATCAGGTCATTCACACTATCGAATTCTGCCTGAACTGTGTCTCACACACAGCATCTTATCTCCGGCTATGGGCATTGTCGCTGGCGCATCAACAGCTTTCAATTGTGTTGTGGTCAATGACACTCAAAAACGCGTTCGGCTTCAGTGGTGCTCTCGGCATTGTTGTCATTTTCTTGGCATTTGTCGTCTGGTTCGCACTCACGATTGCTGTTTTGGTTGTCATGGAAGGCACGTCAGCCATGTTGCACTCGCTTCGTCTCCATTGGGTCGAAGCCATGAGTAAACATTTCATTGGCGAGGGTGTTGCATTTGAACCTTTCAGCTTCAAGCAAATGCTGGACGATGAGATGACGGAGTTGAAGTAACGCGTTGCCTGCGATAGTATAACAGCATGTAGAGTTTATGTACAAGTTTCCAATGTGCCAGTCTGATCATGATTTCATTGTGTGGCTTCTGCTCTTCGTCATCAATACTCTTCTGCGTCACCAGCAGAACTGAGCATCTGAGTCAAATGCGGCGTGGTCTGGCGCGTATGTTTCGAGACACAGTGCTGTCTTGCACGATGTCGAGACAAATGTGCATAGATGCAGACAAGGCCATTGACATGTCTCAGGCTCCGGCTATAATACTCTCACCAGGCGTTTCGTCATCCACTAGAAGTTTCTCCACTAACAACGAAATCGAGAACAGTGCCCCAAGAAGATGCGCAGAACTCTTCGAAAATCTGTGAGGCGAGAGCGCCGGACATCGCGAGACGGCTCAAGAACACCATCTAGGAACGAATATGCGGACAGCGCGAGTGGATCAGGCAGAGAAAACCTAGGGATGGGTCGCGACTCAATCGAGAAGTGGCGTCAACGCTGCTCTTCAGGTATATTGTCGTCGATAACTTCGCCATCACTCGCCTCTACGTCCTTGGAGACCTTGACCTCTAGCTACAAGTACCAGGAGCTCGTTTCTGAAATCCAGCACCTCAAGGCGGAGAGTGAACGATTGATGCTTGAATTGACGAGGGCGAAGGAAGATTCGCAGCACGTGAGGGCTGAGAATGAAGGATTGATTCTTCAAGTGGAGAAAGCAAGGGATGAGACCCGGTACTTAAGAGCTGAGCAGGAACAATTGGAGCTTGATTTGGAGGAGGCGAAGAGGCCACCGACGGAGCCAGATCTTAGACGGAGGTCGTGGCGCATCATCCATGGAGTTTTGCAGCTGAATCTAAATCTTGGCCGTAAGCGTCGGAAAGCACCACCGCCGCCTATTATTGTGCCCGATCGACCTCGGTGTACCGTTTGCAGGCGTAGCTGAATATCGGGATGGCGAGGAGCACGATGTTTGAGAGGATACGCCTGAGGCGGCGAAGCTGCCAAGCTCTGCTCTGGACTCCGCCATCCTCTGCTGCTGCAGTTCTCCAATCACTCTTAGCTCAACCAACACAACAACCCATACATTCGCGATCTCGGCATTCATGTCAGAATGCCCAGCTGATGTAGCATCTTGCTGGCATTGAACTTTTTGCTTGCATAGCCATCTTCGCTTGCAGGCTTGTCCGTACAGCGTGGAGAGAGTAATCCAGCATCAGTCTTACTAGGTCGGTTGTCCAACCAAATGCAGACTTATCAATGTTTGTTAATCCTCAAGATGGCTCTCATGGCGCTCCTTCCTCGCGTCTTTTAGCAGCTTCCTTCCTCCGGACCAAGATCTCGCAGTCTTTTAAGCGTTCTTCCCACTCGGTCCAGCGTTCTCCCATCTGCAACACGCCGCTTTCATAGTACTTCTCCACGACCCTTGCGCTTCTTGCCCTCAGTTCCGCAAATTCCTGCGCCTGCTCTATCTGCTTGGCCTCCAGCTTGTCGATGCGTGACTGCATGGCAATGAGCTTGACCATAGGGGTAGACTCCGGAACAGTGCTGTTGTCGTTCAACGTCGAGAGCTGCACTGCACTCGTTTTGTATAGCGAATCATGTGCCAATATCAAGTGAGCCAAAGACGCTGGTGCGAGACTGCTCGGGGGCGCGTGCGAGTCGGTGGGATGAAACAGTTCTGGATAATGCTTCTGAAGCTGTAAAATGTCCGAAACGGCATGCGACCTTGCTGCCAATGCCTTCAATGTCCGCTCCAGGTTGCGGAGACGCGCGCTGGCCGAAGCATGGTGTGCCGATGCCTTCTCGTCGGTTTCCTGCTGGTCTCCGTTGACCACATAGTCAATCCTTTGCAGCCGCTCCGCCAGCATCGACAGCGTCTGCACTGCCGTCCCTTCAGTGGCAGCCATCTCGGTGCTGTCACATGCCTCGTTTGCAGCAAGTGAAGATGGAACAGCTCGGCACACGGACAAGACGCCTGCAAGCCTGGTCGCCTGCCAACGCCACGTTTGACCGTGCCGAGCCGAGTCAATCGACGGGCCGCCTCGCGATCTAAAATGACGAACGGGCAAGGGCGCAAAGCACACGAAACCTCTTTTCACGGAGCATTTCGCAACCAACAGCACTAGTCGCAGGACACACCGAACAGCCCTCCAACTTCCGCAGTCGCGTAGACATACCAGGAAGAGCGCCGACGTGCTCTGCCGCCCCCATCAACCACCGATGCAATAACCTCCTGGTCGCCCTCGGCCAGAAGAAGGAATCTGTCACCCGTCTCTCGCCGCCGCCTCTGGTGTGCCCACCATGGCCTCATACGCTGCGATCAACTCTATACAGAGCGAGCATGGTAGCGACAGCGATTCAAGATCGAATTCGAGCCGGTCGCGGCGCATGCGACATACGAAACAGAACGGCCTTGGAGGCTCAGCATCATGGATATCTTCAGTGATAAACTTGGTCAACACCATCGTAGGCGCAGGCGTTCTTGCCATGCCTCATGCCCTGTCAAATATGGGTATCACGCTTGGGACCATTGTCATTTGTTGGGCTGGCCTCACCAGTGGTTTTGGATTGTACCTGCAAACTAGATGCGCGAGATATCTGGATCGCGGCAGCTCTTCATTCTTCGCTTTGAGCCAGATCACATATCCGGGCGCTGCGGTCGTCTTTGACGCTGCTATCACGCTTAAATGCTTTGGAGTTGGTGTTTCGTACCTCATCATCATTGGAGATCTGATGCCTGGAGTGGTACGTGGCTTTGTGCCGAATATAGATCAAGGGAGTGCCTTGTATTTGGTAGACCGCCAGTTCTGGGTCACGGCGTTCATGTAAGTCTATAGACGTTCTGAGTACTGCGCAGATTGCTAACGCGACTACACAGGATAATTGTGATACCCCTGTCGTTTCTTCGCAGACTGGACAGCCTGAAGTACACCTCCTTCATTGCTCTGGTTTCTATCTCGTACTTGGTCGTTCTTGTCGTATACCACTTCTTCGTCGGTGACGCTGGCGCCCAGCGCGGCCCGGTGCATTGGGTAGCATGGCAAGGTCTTGGATCTACGCTCTCGAGCTTTCCGGTCATTGTCTTTGCATATACATGCCATCAGAACGTGAGTATTCTCAAGCTATCATTGCAAGACCTCGTCTAACTCTCATCCAGATGTTCTCCATTCTCAACGAAATCAAAGATCCAAGTCCAGGACGAACGACATCGGTAGTGACTGCATCCATCGGAAGCGCAGCTATCATTTACGTTCTGGTAGCTATTACAGGCTACCTCACCTTTGGAGACAATGTTATCGGCAACATCGTAGCGCAATACGTTCCCAACGTGTTTGCCACCATTGGTCGTGCAGCAATAGTAGTCCTGGTCACGTTCAGCTATCCACTGCAAGTGCACCCTTGCCGTGCTTCTCTGGACGCTGTTCTCAAATGGAGACCCGTCAACAGACGTACCCAGGAACTCACGCCCGCACCCTCATCCCGTGGTAGTCCCTCCCGCAGCTCACTGCTTGGTGCTGGCAAGGTCCCATCTGCGCGATCAAATCCATCAGAAATGACAGAGATACGCTTTGCGATCCTCACTACCATTATCATAATATTGTCATACATGGTCGCCATGACTGTGAGCAGTTTGGATAAAGTCCTCGCCTACGTTGGATCGACTGGAAGCACAGCTATATCGTTCATCCTTCCCGGACTGTTTTACTACAAGATCAGCTCGCCTGATTCACCGCATCATCAACGGCTGCTCAAGGATGAGGAGGACGAAGAAGAAGGTGGAACGAATAATGGAAGGCAGGGGCGAAGTGAGCTTCTGCGAAAGCTGAGTCTTGCGATTGCGATATATGGCCTGTGCGTAATGATTGTTTGTCTTGTCACGAATACCATCAACATCGCGAATGGGCGTTAGAGGACGAGTGGCGTCTGCTGCATGGCGTTGAAGAGAAGTGGGTTGTATATATTGGGATATGAGGGGGCCGGAACTGCTAGGTCAGGCGGGGCGCTCGTTGCATTACCATCACACGAATGGATCGATATGAGATGCATTGTTGAGAGATACTATTTCCTCCATGATCATGATTCTGTCGCCATCTCTCACATCCCAGCATCACAGAGCCCTGTTCCGACATCCGAATCTTCGACAGGGAACAATTCTGGAGAAATATGGAGTGAGTTTGAGACAGCATGACGGAATGCTTGACAGCTCCCAAGGGTTCCCCAAGGGTTCTCAGTTGCTTCCTTGGTTCAGCGGAGTATGCGAAGTCAGAAGCATTGCTCACTCACCCCATGGTGTTATTCGCGAATGCCTCACGAGTGGACGTTCAAAGCGATGTAAAAATGCCCAGGTGAGTTCGGGTTCGGCAAGCACCTCTTCTGGACTTCAAGATGTGCATCCTCGGGACGACTGCTCATGACGCGCATCACGATATGTCTAGCGTGGCCGTCGAGCTTCCTCCATAAAGCCAGCAGCTGGCATGCTTCGTGCATCTCACCTTCCTAAATTCCCCCATGTCCTTGCACACGACGCGCTTTCTCCTCACAAATACGTACCATCCCCTCTCCCAAAGGCACAGCCAAGTCGCAACCTGTGCACCAGTTACGCGGTAGACCCTCGACGAGGATCGGGTGAAGCGAACGAATAGCGACCGACGAGAGAAGCATTGGTATGCGAGGATTGGGTGCGACAAGGTGAGCGCGTTGTTCAAGCTTCGAGCCTAGACGGAGAAACGGAGAGCAAGGATGGAGAGAGAGGAGATGGACATGGCTAACATCTGTGCTGAGACATCACGCAGAATACCTATAGCGACGCATACCTGGCTGGGGAGAAAGAGAAGAGCTTTTGTCTTGGTCAAGGCACGGAGTGGACACGAAGAAGGCGGACCTCTTGTCACCGAGTCTTGAACGTATCGCATATACCGCACATACCACCAAATCAATCAAAAAAGAGTGTGTATAGTCGATCGTTCAAGATGAAGGACAAGATTGAAAACTTCTTCGCGTACAACAGCCAACTTGTAAGCTCTTTTTATCAACAAGTCATCCTTTTGAACGGCACTGAATTTCGTCCCGAGGACGCCTTTACCTTGTACCATCTCATTCAAGGTAAGACATTGAAGACATAAATGAGTGTGCTTGGTTGAGATGGAACAATTACTGATGTTACCCGTTCTTGACGATCAGAGGAACAATATGGCGCGGGCGACTCTAGCATCATTGCACCCGCCCTCCCAGCTTTGGGCCATGCCTTAGCAGGCGGTCTGGCAAGCGCTTTGTCGAAAGCAGTAGTGTATCCCATCGACACTATCGTCACACGACTCCAGGTACAGAAGCAACTGAAGGGAGACAAAGAAGCTCCTAGTGCAGCGAGCGAGGCAGATGTGGAGTACAAGAACCCCATCGATGCGGCACAAAAGATTTATAAGAATGAAGGCGGCCTTCAAGCATTCTACCAAGGCTTGAACTCAGATGTGGTCAAGCACATCGCCGACTCTTTCTTTTTCTTCCTGGCCTACAACTCACTTCGCGATGGAATGCTGAGGCGGCAAGGTGGCAAGCAATTACCGGTTGTGAAGGAATTGAGCGTTGGCGTCCTAGCTGGGGCAATATCCAAGGCCATCACGCAACCAATCTCACAAGTCGTAGTACGACAGCAGACAGCAGCATTGGTGGCTGCACGAGACCCAGAGTCATCGAGCTCGAGAAGTGTCGCCGTCAAGGACATCGTCAAGCAAATCAGAGAAGAAAAAGGCATCGCCGGATTCTGGGCCGGGTACAGCGCACAGCTGATCCTCACACTCAATCCCGCAATCACATTCGCAGTCAACAACCTCCTCAAGTCACTGGTGCCAAAGAAGCAAAGAGAAAACCCAACACCACAACTCACATTCCTCCTGGCAGCCCTCTCAAAAGTCATCGCCACATCCATCACATACCCAGTCATGCTCGCCAAATCCCGAGCACAAGTCCAAAGAGGTTCCACAACCGAAACAGACCCATCGGAACACAACTACGTTTCCGTCGACGGCGGCGACCGCAAGACCCAAGCGAGACAATACGCCAAGAAAGCCTTGAAACTCGTCGAAGCACAGACAGCCATCTACTACGCTCTACGAAAGATCTACCAACAAGAAGGCGTCGCCGGCCTCTACTCCGGGCTCGATGGAGAAGTCGCCAAAGGTTTCCTTCAGCATGGCCTCACGATGACAGCCAAGGATGGCGTGCATGCTGGTGTGATTCAGCTTTATTATATTCTTTTGAAAGCGACGAAGCGTTGGGATGCGGAACTCGCCAAGGCTACGGAGGCGGCGAAGGAGAGGGCGAAGAATGTTGCGGCTACGACCGTTGAGGTGGCGAAGAATGCGCTTGGGCAGTGAAAAGGTCGATGGAAAGGTGAAAAATGGGGGCACAAGGCAGGCGCTCGGGAGCACGAATTTATATGATAGCTAATCGTTTTTCTCTAAAAGCTTCGCTCGCTTGTACTCCATTTCTTAGCAAGCGTGAGGCGAGAAGTGGGAGTGAGGGTTGTGTTGATCATGAATGGGGGACGACTTCGAAATGATATCACAATTGAGACGTTTCGACTCTCCCTAAAGTAAGTTAGTCTGTATCACTGTCGTAATGGCAGAATATATACCTGAAGGACCCCGCCCACTCTTCGTTGATTGGGCTTTCTGCTAGGAAACGTCGAACCGGGCAACGACGACGACCTGAACCGTACCGTATACCCGCTCGAGAGACAGGTTGCAGAAAGAATAAGATCCTCGGATATTGGTCGATTCGTAAATTTGTGAGGATTTAGAACTACTGTGTTCTATCCTAATCTCTCTTCTTACTTTCACCCCAATGCTGACCCCAGCTGTTGTCCGCCTGCAGCAGGTATGGATTCCGGGTATTCGTTTCTCATTCCAGTCTGGTGATTCAGATGTTCACGTGTTGTTTCTTTGCCCTGGTAATAGCCGTCCTTCTCATGCTTCTTTGCCATGAGGCTCGTTCTTTGAAAAGGGTCTATGGAGAGCATCGGGAGCGCCAGCGGCTGCATTGCTGGCAGGATCGTTTCTGATGAGGTCGGTGTTGCCTGGTCGATTACGTTCATCCTTCTCACTTTGCGTGCGATCGAGCTCTTCACCGGGATGTTTGAAGGATAGACCAGAATTTGAGGTGGCTGGGTCGACTGGTAGGGAGCCCGGGGGTGGAGGGAGACCATATTCTTGCTGGCCGGGCGCATCGCTGGCATTTCTGTCCTTGACGACAGTGGTCGTACCGGTGGCTGAGCACCCGTCTGGGTTTTCCGCACTAGGTGACTTGTTGAATACTTGGTCTTTGATGTACTCGGTGCCTTCTCTGTGGATCTGCTCTTGCTCGGTCTGACTCTTGATGTAATCTGGATGCTCTTTGTGTATTTGGACTTGTCTTGACGCTTCTGTGCCAGTCACTCCTGCAGCAAGGCTGCTGATTCCATTTGCTACTGCAGCAGCGCCAGATCGTAAGGTGTCCATGTCGTAGCAATGTGCGAGTCAATTGCACGAGAAGTTGGTCGTCTGTTGAGGTGGAATGGTTAGAGTATCAGAGAGTGCAATGCCTAGGCTGAGGCAAGCTGTATATCAACATTTCCCAGAAACGCACAGTTCGTTCATGCTTGCGTCACAACTTGCAGTGAAGTTGGTGGGTGTTATTTTCCAAGTTGGCGACGCACGCCCACGCCCACCCAACCACCTTGCACGGCGCCAAGCAATATGTACAATCGGATACGAACCTCCGAAGCCCTCCCTTCCTCTTAGTCAGCTGACTTTTTGGCAGCTTGCAATGCAAATACAGACCTGATACCTCACATGCTGAACCGGTTGCGCTTGCACCATTTCCTAATCATTGCTTTAATCACCTGTCACACCGCTAAATTTTCTCTAACCTGTGGCCGTCTCGCCACTTCCGACCGGTTTCTGGCCAAATACTGAGTATCTTTGTCGTCCGTCAGTCAGAATACTTCAGTCACGTCTCAACACTTACATAGGCCAATATGAATGTACTTTGGGGTTCATGATATCCCTTCTGACTCTGGCAAGGAACACCTGAACCTCCTCCGGCTTCATACCAAGCACACCCGTCCACAATCGCATCGTAAATCCTTCGATTCCAGCGAGGAAATTGACTTGGGTCATCTTGCCCAGAATCTTGGAGCTCTTGTCTCTGGGCCATGCTCCCACTGGCCATTTAAATTGCACTTCAGTCACTCCCTCGAATCCTTGGTCAATCATCCACTGTTTGAACTTGCATGGAGCATCCAGGTCTATCCCGAGCTTTTCGCAGCATTCTACTTGCCGGTTCAGCCATGTCTCCAGAGCTGTCCCGTCCATCGTTCCATCGTCGCATCTGAATGGCATCAGCACGTCCGTCATTTCCAGCCAGCCACCGGGATTTAGTGATTTGAAAGCTTGCCGAATCATTGCGGGAAAGTCTTTAGTCGTCCCGACCATGGCTCTGGCATGAATGAAGTCGAATTTCTGCTGAAACGTCCATTCACAGTTGAAATCGTCAATTTCAAACTTGCAATTAGGAGGTACAAACTGTGGCTGTATTGCGCTCAGATCAGTGCCTATGATCTCGCTTTCAGAATGCTCATCGGCGAAGTCGATGGCCTGGACCACATATCAACTACCGTACACGTCTTCGATCAAGCTGTGTTGGAGGCTTACCCAAATTCCTGTTCCGCACCCAAGATCAAGGACATGCTTCACGTCCTCTGGTAGTGGACAAAGATGGAGCTTGCGGCCAAAAGTGCGCAAGAACATTTCATGTTGCAGATCCAACCGTTCTTGCTCTCGTTCGTCGTCGGGAATTGCCCACGAGTCTCCAAGAATGGACTTGTAACGATGGTATCCTCTGCCATTCTCCTCGACTGACTCTAAAAGACTGGACCGGAGCGATTGAGTGAGGTATGCATAATCATGACCAACCGCAGAATCTGTCTCGGACGTGTCCTCGGGGGAGGTCCATTCGTGCTGCTGCTCGTCCATTTCTGCATCATATCTGGAGCATCAAAGTTCAAGCTTGAAAACCGTTTCCAGACCTGGACGGTCATCGAGCTTATTACTGTAGGAATCTGCCTTGTGCCGCAAAGAACCCGGTCCGGTCTTCCCGCAATCATAGGGCACAGGTGTTTTATCACGCACAGCGCAGTGGATTACTTACGTAATACTGCCTTGCCGGCGGTTCAAATTGGCTTCGTTTATTGCCCTCTACTGTTCTATTCTATAGGCTAAAATATAGTATGAAAATCCTTTATATACTAAGAAGATATATAATAGTTATATAACTAAGCTAACGCGTTATATACCCCCTTACCTTAGGCAAAACTTAAAAGGGATATACCTTCTATTTTAGGTAAGGTAGCTAATGCTTTTTTATATTAAAACAAAAAGAAAATTAATATTTTTAACTTCTTATATAGTGCTTTATCAAAATAATAAAAAGTTAATTCTAAATCTATACTATATATAAGAGAGTCTTGTTTTATACCCTAAGTATCCCGAAAGATATCGTTATATAATCCGGACTACGGAAAATCCCTAAGGAGGTCTATATACCCCTATACACGGCCCCTATTACTAGGAACTGTTTTCTTCTTATATAGTTAAAGTATAGACTAATAGCTTAAGCCTTATTCGAGAATCGAGAACTCTATTAGGACTAAAGAGGTTATACGTAATTAGTATATAACCGGGCTCGAGTAAAGCTAGGGTCTTAATGCCTTAGGCAGGGCTTAGCGCTTAGTAGTAGGCTAACTTGCCTGCCTTCCTCCTATTACGGTTACTCGCAATAGATCGTTAGGTAACTTCTTATTACGTACAAGCCGAGGCTTCTTTAGAGAGGCTAATATAGGCGGGAGGCAGAGATAGAATAATTAGTACAAAGGTAATTCTAATTAGTAAGTAGGTAATATAAGTTAAACGCCTCGAGCTATAAAGGCATTCCGGCGTTCCTAAATATAAAGGAGACATCTTGTCTATAGTCGTAAGCGACGTAAGCGACGCTATCGCTCTCGACCGCTCCTATCGCTCCTAGTAAGATAGAGCGATAGCTTAGCCTACTAGTCTTAGCGTCGCTCTAAGATTATATAAGGACTCTAGCTAATTAGATCCGTAATACTATCCCCCTTCTTAAGCGGAATAGTCCCTTATTCCGGAACTTTCTAATTCTAACTTCTTTATTATACTAAAGTTATCGAAGGACTTGTCTTCTCGCTAGCGTAAGGAAAATATCGCAAATAATATCCTCGCCGACTGCCTCGAAATACCGATCTGCTACTTTTATTACGAATAGGCCGGTAAATCCTATAAAGTCGATCTTCGTTCTAGTCGCTACTCCGAGTACGCCCTATATAGCTAGTCCTATATTATACAAGTTACTCGTATAGAGTATAAAAAAATCCGGAAGGCGCGCCTAAAGATAGCTAAAGATCTCGAAGTAGCTAAAGAGGAGGAGGACCTTCTTACGTAGAGACTCTTCGAGTACTACGTAAAGGTCTGCCGTTTACGTAAGTCGCTACGTATAAAGGAAGATCGGGAGGTATAAGCTCTTAAGGTAGAGGAAGCCTCTATTTAATAGGCGGAGGAGCTCGAAAGAGAGCTAGGCTCTTCGCCTATAGAGCCGATATTATTCTCGTTGCCTACTAACGAGCCGTTTCCCCTAGATAGCCGATTATAGATGTCTCCTTATAACTAGAGTCGTCTAGATAGGATATCCTAGCCTGTCTCTAAAATTTCTAGTAGGAGTGCCGAGAATCTAGTGTCCTAAAGGTATATATTTTTAGTGTTTCCTATCTATTTTATCTTCTAGCTAGTTAGTCTAGTAGTATAATTCTTAGCTATAAAAGACATAGTTGCTAGGTACGCTATTAGAGTCCCCGCTCCTCGAGCTATACTGCCCTAGGTCGTTAAGAACTCTAAGGCGCTATAATCGATAGGGTCTAAGAGGTCGTAGGTTTAATTCCTATACTAGTTATTTCTTTTTTATCTAGTTTTAATATTTTTTGATTATCTGCTAATAGTTCTATAGGTTTTCTTTTAGTTCCTAAGTGTTTTCTAAATATAGGTATCCTTTCTATTTAATAAGGTATTTCTAACCTTGCTAGTCTAGGATTTTTTCGACTTTAAACTCGTTTTCTTCCTTAGGTTAGAAGTAAAATGTTTCTTAGTATAGTGTTTTAGCGTCTATAGGTTCTAGTATAGAGATATAGAATACTAGGTAGATTTTTGCATCGTCCGGTAGTTTAAGTCGGTAATTAACTAGTCCTTTAGGCTTATTAATCAAAAATGGCCCGACTTTAACGTAGTCTAGTTTCTTAGTCGTTCTCCGGGTTCTTAGATTCTTCGTTAGGAGGTAGACCTTATCCCCCTTCTTTAGCTAAGGTACTATTTTTCCTTTAGCATTATACGTTCCCGTTATCTTCTCTTAAGACTCGGCAATTGCCTTCTATAATTGTTTATATACCTACTTTAAGTCTTCTAAAGCTACTATCGCCTTATTTGTATATAGATATTGTAAATACTGTTCCCCGAACAGCTACGGATGTTTCCTAAAATTAGCGAAGAATAGTGTTTCTTTCGTAGTCTTAGATTGCTAATTGTTTAGTATAAGTTGTGCTATAGGTAATAGCGATGTCTAATTGTTTTGTACGTAATTAACGTAGTGCCGTAAGTATACCTCTAAGGCCTAATTCTTGATTTCCGTTTAGCCGTCTATTTATAGATAGTATACCGTTAATAGCTTATACTTAATTCTAAGTGTCGCTATAAGCGTCTTCTAGTAGTTTAACGTAAAGAGCTTGTCTCTATCCGTAATATAGGTCCTTAGGAATCCGTAGTATCGTATAAGTCTATCTAGTACGAGGTATCCGAGTTGCTCTGCCGTACTTGCTTCGTTAGCAGGAATAAAGTATATATATTTCGTAAGCCTATCGACTATAATAAGTATTATATCGTAGCTATGTCCTATAACTAGATCCTTAGATTTTAGTAGTTTCGTAATAAAGTCTATTATAACTTCGTCCTATAGTTTATCTAGTAGCGTCCTAAATTAGACATGTCTATATTTAGCGTATCTATTAGCCTTGTTACGCTAACATTATAGACATTTCTTAATATATTCTAGAACTCGTTATTGTATATATAGGAATCCGAAGCTTCGCTTAACTAGTTCTATTGTTTTTAAAACTCTAGGGTATCTATTTTCTAGTCCGTTGTAGTATTGTCGTATATACTCTGTAACTCGTTCCTTAGGTACTTAGTATTTCCTATACTCGATTAGGAACTATTCTTCTATATCCTAAAGAATTCGTATAATATAGTTGAATTCCTTTATATTAGTACTAAGGCTTCCGTCTTAGTTTGCCTTTAATATCTGTTGCTATACTAGTTCGTAACCTTCTATATAGTCGCTACGGCGGCTTAGTGCGTCGGCTCGTCCGTTCTCGCGTCCTAGGGTATAGCGGATTTCGAACTTGTACTATCCTAGTAGCTCCGACTAGCGGGCCTACCTTCGGGTTAGTACTTTAGTCGTAGTAAAGTAAGTTAGATTCTTATAATTAGAAAGAATCGTAAGACTTAGTGCTCCCTCCGCGTATACTCGCTAGTATTAAAGTAATATAACTATTGCAAGTAGCTCCTTATTATAGATATCGTAGTTCTATTCCGCGGGTAATATCTTTCTCGAGTAATAGGCTACCGGGTATCGTCTCCTATTATACTCCTATATAAGGTATGCTCCTATAGCCTTATCTAACGCGTCTGTTTCTATCTAGACCGCCTTATTCCTATCGAATAATCGTAGCGTTAGCGTAGAAACGCATTACTTCTTTAGCTGCTTAAACGCTTCGTCTTCCTTCGTGCTCTAGTTCTATTTCTTATCTTTCTTTATAAGCTCTATAAGGGGTGCCGCTATCTTAGAGTAGCCCTCGATGAATTTCCTATTATAGTTAGCTAATCCTAGGAATAATTGTACGTCTTTAACGTATATAGGCGTTAGCTATTCCTATATTAACTTAGTTTTTTCTAGATCAATCCTAATTCCTATAGTACTAATAATAAATCCTAGGAACTTAACTTCCTTCTTATAGAATTCGCATTTCTTAGATATAGTCTTAAATCCTACTCGAATGAATCGTTTAAAGACGTCCTACACTATCCGTATATAGTCCGCGAGAGCTCTCTTAGTATAGACTAAGATATCGTCTATATATACGATAACGTATATATCTAGGAGGTCTCGGAGGACTTCGTTTACAAGGTCTTAATATAACGCTAGGGCATTTGTAAGTCCTATAGGCATAACTAAGAATTCGTAAAGCCTATATATTGTTCGAAATGCTGTTATCTATTCGTATCTAGCTGCTATACGTATTGCGTAAAACGTATCGCATAGGTCAATCTTCGTATACTAGTCTAATCTAGTTAATCGGTCTTGTATTTCTTCGATGTTCGGTAATAGGTACCGATTCTTAATCGTAATATCGTTAAGTCGTCTAAAATCGACTACTAGCCGTCCTTCGTCTAATCCGGCTTTCGGAACGAATATTACTAGTAAGGCTGCCGAGGATATCGACTTCCGTATTTAGCCTTTTTCTAATTTCTCTTTTAGCTACTTGTCTAGGGTTTTAAGCTCTTTCTTAGATATTGCGTATAAGGGTCCCTATAGAGGCTCTTTCCTAGGCTGTAAGTGTATCTTATAATCCTATAGTTAGTGTTTAGGTAAGGCCGCCTTGCCTCTCTTCTCTTTAAAGAGTCGCTTCTACTTACTATACTCTTTAGAAATGTCTAGGTCCGAGATTCTAGTTTCATTCTTCGATAGCGTATAACTTCTATCCTTCCTATAATTATTATTATAACCCTCCTAACCTAACGGTAGTGTCGATCCGGGTTAAATACGGTTCTCTATAATTCCTATCGACGTAAATGTCTTACGAGTCGCTCTACGTTTATTAATCTTATCTACCTACGAACGCTGCCGCTATATAGGTTGAATGCCGATTATATAGTCGTATTCCTTAAATATAA